GTGTGTGATCCATCTCTGGTTACGCTGCCTTTGATCTCCCTCTCTTTGCACAGCCAGTGTGTGACACCAAACCTTGCCTTGTCTTTCAGTACCAAACCCCATAACTCTTTCTGGCTCCAGCATTTTGTTTCTTCGATACTTTGTCAGGATGGAAATACTAACCAAACCCTGAACTTTTTAAATCTTTCTAGTCCTGTGATCTCCCTTGTACGCTAATTTTGAAAATGTGCTGGCATATTAATAGAGCCCTGGCCGAGGTGCAGAGCCCCTCTTTAGAAGCTCGATTTTATTTTTGATGCCTATAACAGGTGCTGGTTTAATAGGTTTGCTGTATTACAGCTTTCCTTTTTCTCTGGTGAGCCCAGCCAGATCTGTAAGCTGACACTACATGAAGGCCAGGCATGTGACTTCTGCCTGCCTTTAGCCTCGCTTCACACTGAACATTTACACTGCAGACTTGCAGCAGTATGGCAGCCTTAATTCAAGCTTTGTCTAAACCAGGAGGTTTTGTGCTGATTGTATTTAAATCAGCCCAAGCAAAGCTCCTCGTGCATTCCTGTCTGAGGGTCTTTCTTTGATTTTCTGCTGTCAGCTTTTGAGTGGGCAGCTGCTGGGGAGAGTGAATGTGGCTCAAACAACAAAGGAATGTTTTTGTGCTGCTCTTTGCATCCATTTCATGAGGAGTTTGAAGCTAAGGTATAAATTAAACTGAGTGGTGTTCTCCTTCCTTGCTGCAAAGAGGAAGGTGAATTCTTCCCCTATTAGGTCTGGTGGAAAATGTTTCACAGCCTGTTTATCAAATAAATATTCACAAAGACGCTTCGAACGAGGAAACGCACCAGGATTAAAGTGTAACTTTACCTCTAAAATACAAGCTGAGATTCCTGGAAATGCTGCAAGCCTTTGACTTTGAGCCACCTGTTATTTTCCTGCCACCCCCTTCAGCTCCCTCCCTACTCCCAGCAAACCCAAACACGCTTTGGCTTCGCTGGAACGTTCTGCTTGTTTTTCTCAGCGCCGAGGAGCGGAGAGCACGCGTTTGTTTCCTCACGGGCTCCTCCCGGCCGTGGTCCAGCAAGGAGCTGGCTGGGGTTGATCCACATCTCTGTAAGCCCAAGGGCTCTGTCCAAGGGTGGTGCCAAGTGCAAGGGCTGAGGGCTGTGCTACCTGGGGGTGTTGAACTGGGTTAAACTGAGGGGCTGGAGTGGGATCCGCCCAGCTCTCCTCTCCCTCTGCGGCTGGAGCTGGTGCTGACCCGAGGGTGAAGAAGTTCCTGAGCAAGTGCCATGGGTACAGAGAGTGTGGAAGTGAGCACTGCTGACTGCCAGTTACCTTAGCTTGGCTCAGAGGTGTTCCAGGTCTGCGCTCACTGCAGATGAGGTGTCTCTGGGAATGACGTTGGGTATGAACTTGGAAGTTGAGTTGTTTTAGCCAGATCCTCCCATATTCATAAACAAACCTAAATGGACTTGGATGGGCTCCTTAGTTCCTATGATTTCTTTTTTGCTTGAGCTGCTCTCGCTCCAGGTTTTTAGTCCTCAGCAAAGGCTGCATCACCCTAGCTGGATGGTCCTTTTCCATGCACGCTGGAAAGCCAGAGGTAGAGAGGGGTTAAGGAACTTGCCCAAGGCAGATGAGTCTGTGCCAGAGCTGGGAATAGAAACCAAGAGACTTGGCTCCCACTCCAGGCTCTAATTGCACAATCTCACATTGAAGCCCTGTCATTGTATACTCTTGAGGTAACACTGGCTGAAGTGAGGCAGGGAAAGCTGTTTCCAGGCTGTGATACCTAAGGAGTGGGGAGAGGAAAGGATACCTGGAGGTGTTGGTTGGGCAAGCACCAATTATTTGTGCTTTAACGCCTGGTTTCGGCAATTGTTTCTAAAATCTGATCTGTCACATTTGAAGCCAACCCAGTGTGAAGTGGTTGGGAGAAATCCAGCCCTTTTCCAGTCAGTGATAAAGGGGAGAGGCAAATTCATAACATCACTGGTCTTTTTTTTTTTTCTTCTGCAAAAGTCCCTTGCGATGAACGGGGGAAAAAGGCGGGAGAGCTGAGAGGATCCAAGTAGTAACAGTAAGGGTTAAATCACATTTGGGCCCTTACCAAAAGAATGAAAAATAAATTGTAATCAAGCTAGTAAAAGGTTTGGGCTATGTTGCCTTCATATCACATGCTGTGTATAGGAAAAGTCCCAGGCTTTGTTTGAAGTGCAGTGCTTTGAGAGGGTGCAGTGCTTTGCAGCAAACTGTCTGACATTCCCCAGCTGGGACTGGCCCGGGATGCTGTTTGGAGCTGAGAGTTACATTTGGAGTCAGCCCATGTTTGAAGGAAAGGGGGAGAGGGAGAGAAAGGAGCCAGTTTTTCTGCCTGTGTAAAATAATGTATCCATCTCATCTGCCAGCTGCAGCACATGAAAAGCGAGAGGCGAACAGACAGAAGTCACCTGGAAACTGCAACCATGGCTCAAACAAAATAGTTCTTTCCTGTCCTTTTCCTCCCTTCTTCAAGTCTGTCTTCTGGGATGGGTTGGGAGATCTGGCAGGCGGGCAGAGTGGATATATGTTGAGCAACCAAAGCACAAAAATATTAATACTGCAAAAAAAAAAAAAAAAAAAAAACACTGGCTTCTGAAGAGCATTTCATGTCCAAATTCACTCTGTGCTCTCAGTCCCTTGCAGACTTAGTTGCCCTGTGTAGGAATTGTCAGGTGATTTATAGATTCTCCACGTTCGTTTGTACAAGCCTTCATTTCCTGTTAATTTACAGCCAGATTCATCTCAGCCATCACAGCTTAGATGAGATCAGAGCTGAACTCGCAGCCTCTGCTTCAGGAGAGCTCCAGAAAATGTGCTTGTGGCTTGCTGTCTGTTATGTCTGTGTTGAGGTACTTTCCTGAATCACAGGATGCACATTTAATGGGTGCTCTTCGCTTGAGGAGGAAGAAAAGATTAAAAATTTCTGAACCTTGTGATTCTGCTAATCAAGTTAATGGCAAAAAAACCCCAAAAATCAAACCACCAAAACCTAGTCTTAGGGGGAAAGAAATTCCCCTTGCCCATGTGTTCAGTTAATGGAGGTCACAAAATTCTGGGTATGGAGATTTTTCCTGTATTTTAATCTCACTATGCTATAAATTCAGTGCACCACTGTATTACTAGGTGCATGGATGTGAAAATTCAGACTTTATACACAGCTATAAATGAATATTGGTCTTTTGGATAGCAGCCACGTCATTATCTTTGAAACAGTTGTGGTTGTGGAGACCTGTGTGCAGGTAACCATGGAATAACCAGTTTGGAGATGTAAATTATGACTTCCCTTTGATTTTTCTTGACACCTTGCAGCACTGTATTAGCAGCACACTGCTATAGTGCTGTAAAATTTGTCCTTAGTGTTTTCTGAGCCTGCACTGAATTAATTGTCATTTAAACTCTTCAGTCAAAGTAGTGTTTCTGTGCCTGTTTCCCCAGCGTTAAGCAAGGGCCATGTGCTGGCTGTTTAAAGGGCGAGTCTCCCAAAAGCAAATTGTTCTGGGGCTGCAGATTTTTCACTCTTCCTGTTGTGGACACCAGCAAAGGTTGTGGTGAAACAATCTGGTTTTAATAACAAGGAGGGTGAAGGAGCAGATCACAGTGTGGGGAGCAGGTCCCTTGCCATGTGCTGCTGGCATTTTCTGTCAAAGGGAGGAGGTTTTCTTCCAAAGGGGCTTGTCTGAGAGCCTGAAGTGGGGGTGAAGCTGGAGAAGATGGGCTCCTAAACAGCTGTAGGTGTCTGAAAAGCTGTGTCAGACATCCCTCAGTTTTTTTGTTTTAAAGGGCTGGTGCTTTGTCAGGGGAGCTGGGACTTGATTCAGGAGTGCTTTCACTGGCTGCTCTCCCCTCCTCTGCTCACCCAGTAGGTGTCTGGATGGATTGAGGCACAGGACTTGTCTGAACTCTCTTTACTATCTCTTATTATTCAGCAAGTTCCCAAGTGTCTGGTGAGTGTCTCTGTTTGGAGTGCCTCACTCAGAGCCTTGCCAGTAATATCAGTGACTGGTCTAAATTCACATCAGGCATGTGCTCTGCCTCTTGTGACTAATGCACAATGTATTTTTTTAATTGATTACTGTTCTCTACTGACTCAGGCCAGAAAGGAGTCAGAGGAAAGGGCTCAGTGAGGGGGTGATTTTTACTTAGACCTTGTTGAGTACAGATGAAGTCTAAAGGTATTTAACTGTTTGGTGGCTGTGGAAGCAAACTGAGGGCAGTTGGTAGGACTTTCTCTAAAGAAAAACCTTAGGCTGGATCCCTCAGGCTGTCCTGGTCAGGCAGCAAACACAGGTGATCAGTTCAGGGTCTGATCCTGCAGCTGGTGCTTGGGCAGGCACTGGCACTGCAGAGTTGTCCTAATCCTACAGTGGGACTAAAGTAGCAAAAGATAAGGAAATGCCAGCAAGAACATTTGCAAGGCTTCTTATTTCTGTGTGTTATAGATCATTGTAACACAGTGCAAAGCTGGGAATTTTCAGAAGAATCCTTAGGAGTTAAGAATGTTATGTAACTTCTCTTGGGTTTGTGTTTACTTATTTGTTTCCTTCTCTGAAAGTCACATTCTCTGGATAAAACCTTGGCATGTTGGCTGAGCCGCTGATCTGCACGCCTTGCCTTTGGGATTCAGAAACAGCCCTGTATGTGACAAATCCAGTTTGGAAGTTCAGGCTTGCAGGAGAGCCCAGATAAATGGAAGAAAAACGGATGAGTGGAGTCAATAGTTCTGTAGAAGGTAAAAAGTGTCAGAAAGCCTGCAGATAGCTGTGAGCTGGCTCTAGCCAGAGGAGCAGAGATTAGGGAATCTCTCTTGGAAGGGGTCTCTCCTCAGACAGCTGTTAAAAACTCACCAAAACTCCGAGTGTACAAACTCGGGGCCAGCCTGGGGGCCTGCTGCAGTCTTGGATATTCTTTCTGCTTTTCTAAGAGAGCTCAACAGTCCCTTTTTCTCCTCCTGACTGTTTCAGGCATCACAACAGGATCCGCAGCGTTGAGGGCAGTCAGCTGCAGCCCTACGTTGCCCTGGAAACGTTGGACCTGAGCTTCAATGACATCACGGAAATCCGAAACGGCTGCTTTCCACAGGGACTGCACATAAAGGAGCTGTGAGTTCTTCTTGTTGGGAACTGCTCTTGTTGAGTTACCACAGCAGAGAAAAGGGCCTCAAACCTTTAGAGAAAAAAAGTCATGAATGTAAGAAGTATGGGATTATTTGTCAGGATTTTAAGTGCAAAGGAGAGTTAGAAGGCAGCACGTTGTCATTATTGTCAAATTATTTTTTGAGTGGTTTCTGATGTAGCTATAAATAATGCAGATTATTATTAATTGTGTTTTAAAGAAGAGGTATCTTTCAGGTATCCTGCATCCTTCATATGTAGGTGTCTTTACATCTGCAAACCCATGTGCATCTAGAAGAGTGGAGAGAGAACAACTATTTAATCATTAAAGTGACTTTCTGAATATTGAGAACAGAAATGTCTCTGATTATTTGAACAAAATGGGATCAAACAGAGTAACACACTCCCACAGGATGTTTGCCTATTCAGAGAAACACGAAATAATCTGTATTTTAGGTACCTTTGAAGAGGTGCAGGCAAGTAGTCTGCCTGCATTAAAATTTACACCCAAGTTTGTGTTCCTGGATGCAAGAGGGTATAAGAGAGTGGTGTTGTGATTGATGTCCTGCAGAAACAGCCCCCTGTTCAGGCTAGGATTCAAATAAAAAAGACCCCTGGGACAGATCCTGAGGGGAAAATGGGGAATGAATAGCATCATCATGCTGCACTGGAACGGTCTCCACTTTCTGGCTTCCGCTCCTGATTGCCTTGTTCAAGTAGAAGGATGTCATGGAGCTCTTTGGAAGTGCCCAGCAATTCTCCACATTCATCACAGGCTCTGGGAAAGGCCCTTTGTGCAGCCAGAAATTCAGCTGGTTTGAAGCCATCTCTGTAGTTCAACCAGCTTGTCTGGAGACCAACTAAATGCTGATAAAAGGTAATTTCTGACAGAAGCATTCATTTTTCTGCTGTGATTCATTGCAGCTACCTGGGGAGCAACAGAATCAGCACCCTGGAGCCTGGTGCTTTTGACAGCCTGTCCCGGTCCCTGCTGACACTCCGTCTGAGCAAAAACAGGATCACTCAGCTTCCTGTCAAGGCCTTCAGGCTGCCCAGGCTGATACAGCTGTGAGTACAGATGTCCACTTTAATTGAGCTCAGCCACACTTGATGGAGATAAAACGATCCTGGGGGTATGCACAGCAAATGTCACACATCCTCACCCCCTGTGTATGAAATGTAGAGTCCACTATGCAGGAGTCCTCTGCCAGCTCCTACAACACACACTAGGAGAGGGTTTTGTCTTCTGACTCTTGGCTTTTCAGGTCATTATTTGGATCAGGTGGGGAGGGAGGAATGCTGCAGCAGACACCAGCATCTTTTGCACTTGACAAAGTGAGACAAATCCATTCCCTTGCAAGCTGCTGGTGTCTGTGATGCAAGAGAGGTTCACAAGATGTTTCTACTGAGGGTGGCAAAGCTCAGCTGTCATGTTAGTGTTTCTTTATGTGGCAATAAAAAAAGCAATGAGGGAAGGTTGTTAAACTGTGAGGTGATATTTGGACAGAGAAAATTGCAGCTCAGATGAGTTAACACACACACAGTTGTTGTTCTGCTTGCATGGGGACCCACAGGCATCTGCAGCTATAAACATGCTTTATGTGTAAAAAAGTGGCACTAAGGGTTGAGCTTTCCCCTTCTGCTGTTACAGAAATGGGCCCAGCCTAAGGCTCATTGCAATCTTTCCATCAAATTTGACAGACAAAAGGTCCACCTCTGTCTGTTAGCATCAAGTCCACAAATGCTGTTGGAACTTACACCTCCTAGTGTCAACCACTTGACAGAGAGAAGTCCTCAAGCCAGGGTGTGCCCAAGGAGTGTGTGTGCATTTATGTCTGCATACATGCAGGATTTACAGCCAGTTTGGGATGGGATAGGGGGACACAATAGGAAAAGTCTGTTGCCTCTCAGTTGGAAGTTGCTGTCCATTGAGTGAGGGCTTATAATTCACTGTGTTTGACTGCATCACGTGCAAAACTGTAATGAAAACAACTCAGTCTGTTTGGGAATATGGTTTGCACTGAGAGATGGAATAATTGGTGCTCTTAATGACTGCCTCAGAGCTGGTTGTTTAACTCTGCAGATAAACATGAATGAATTGCAAGTTACCCAGATTGGTGTGTTGTAGAATTTGTGTACAGTTCTTTTTCTGGCAAAGCCTGTTTCACTAATAGCCCAGGAAGTGCAGTACCACGAGGGACTTTAGGCCTGCAAAATCTTTACTGCTTACTTGTCTTCAAATATTCTCAACTTGAGTGCAAGTTCAACATTGTTTTTTTAGGCAGTTGAAAAGTAAGCTTAAAGTCTCTATGGCTTCTTCATCTTTTCCAAAACAAGTTTGGATGTTGTAACCTCTACCATTTTCCTCAACACAAACACTGACTAGGAAACTATCCTCAGCTTAATCTTGTATGTGTGGAAAAGTATCAGTTTTAAAACCTTTAGCTTCAGCTTTTAGTGCATTGTGTTGAAGTTCTCCACTGACTTAACAGAACTGGATTTTCAGCTGGTATGTCTGGGTCAAGTAGTCCATAAGACTGATATAGGTTGGTAAAGCGTGCTGTGATGATGTTCACAATGCTATTCAGAAAAAAAGATACTGCCAAATATTTAGGGGTCCTTCCTCACCCAGAGAAACTCAAAAGAAATTTAATGAACCAAGCTGGAAACTATTTTATACACAAATACTAAGACTGCATTGTTACTGGAAACACTTTCACTCTTTATTAGTTTCTGATATTAGGGGAAAAAAAAAATTACATTTTTCACAGGGGACTGAAAGCTTTCCTTTCAGACTTGGCCATAAAGTTTCCTCTTGGGCCCATGCTTTTGGGGCACCTGCATGTTTCAGAGCACATTTTTACTGGGCAATTACAAGTCCTATAAAAACAATGGATTGTAAAGGAAATAATGCCAATGCTTTGGTTCAAATGGTGTCTGCGCTTGAGGGAGGATGAAAAGTGGAAGTTGATGGGAAGGATCAATGGCTGAAAAGAAATGCAGAGAGGAGGGATGAAGAGGAATTGCTGCACTCTGTAATTTCTCTGTAGTGAAAGCCTGTCCTGGGGTGAGTTTGTTTAAGAGATCACACCCAGCTGCCTTCCCTGGGCAGCTCTGGGACTGAAAGTTTCCGGTGCTCTTCTGCTGTCTCCTGGGAACCACTGACACAGGAGCTGTTGGCATTGCTGTCCCCATTGTGTGCTGCACAGATGACTTGGTGAGAAAGGGCTGGGGTTTAATAAACTTGTATGGCCTTGGTGCTTTCAGGGAGCTGAACCGGAATCGCATCCGCCTGATTGAGGGCCTGACGTTCCAGGGGCTGGACAGCCTGGAAGTCCTGAAACTGCAGCGCAACAACATCAGCAAACTGACTGATGGGGCTTTCTGGGGTCTGGCCAAAATGCAAGTTCTGTAAGTTGGAGAAATGGGCTCTTTTTCCTTTTCACCTGCTGTCACATCCTTCTCTGTGCCCGTAGGCACCTGTGCTGCTTCTTGTGCTTCTTTCTTTGTCCTGCATGCCCAGAGGTGCTGCAGCAGCTTCACTTTAGCTGACCCACACTTTACAAAAGCTCACTGCTTCAGCAGGTGTTCAGTAAAAACAACACTGTTTTTTAAGCTGTGGCACTACTCCTTTGAAAGTTTGACAGTTTGAACATTCAGCATTTATCTCAATTGGTCTTTAAATATCTGACTTCTGCAAATTTGTTTTGGCTGATAGATGGAAACTCTGTGTTGCAGACGGTATCATTCCACCTCATGGGATGCCTAGAAACCAAGCTGGCCATTCTTGGTGATGTTTTCTTTCCATACCAGAGAATAAATTGATTAGTCATTGCAGAGAAATACCTGAAGCTTCCAACACCCTTGGCTTCCAGATGGAAGGGTGGGCTTTAAGCCTACTTTACTTGCAGTGGAGCTTCTCTCTGCAGTCACATCTCCTTCTGGGCATTTCCTTTGTGTTGTCCTTGAATTTCTTTCTTTGTTTGACAAGAAATTCTCACACATGCATTTGTCCACATGAGTATGTAGAAAGGTGTGTAGGAATGGCTAAAATCCCAGTTCTTTTTGGAAATTCTTTCAGCATTTGACCAAACATCTGTAAATTCCTTCTGATTTTTCTCTACAGCCACCTGGAGTACAACAGCCTGACAGAAGTGAACAGTGGCTCTCTCTATGGCCTTTCCTCTCTGCACCAGCTTCACCTCAGCAACAACTCCATATCCCGCATCAACCCCGATGGCTGGAGCTTCTGCCAGAAGCTGCATGAGCTGTGAGTTGGTTTCTGTGGTGTTGTGTAATGCTGGCAGGTGAGAGGGGAGTAAGGAATTTTCTCAGGGCTTATAACCCCCACTGTATCAACCTGCAGAAATGCAGGAACTACAGGCTCCCAAGTGATGCCCTGGTTATTTATGATGTTATGATGACCTTCAGAGCACCTGTGGTGCTCTGTTAAAACATATTCGTACCAGAAACAAAGGCTAGAACCCACTAAAAGTGCACAGTGCCAAAAGACCTGGAGATTTTGTGAGCTGTGGCTTGCCAACGTTTTTAGCTAGTGAGTTAAAGACTTGTAACTTGCTGTATAATAACTGTACAGCCTGAAGGAAGCTTTGCTTTATACTCTGTATTTACAAAGAACAACCATGTTTTCAACCAGCAGAGATTTGGCCCTTTCAAGGCAGTTCTTCGTGTTTCTCCTGTTTACACTTTACCCTTCCTGTGGGGTTCAGTTGTTGAAAAGTAAATACATGGGCTTTGCTCTCCTGAGGTGCTGGGAATGCAGCCTGACAAATGCAGGAAAGCCTTGCTGCTGAGGGCAGCCCCACAAGGCTTTCTTTGGGTCTGTGGCACTGCTTAATGCCTTTTTGAAGAGACAGGGATGCTTGCAGTATTTACAGAAGGTGCTGCCATCCCCTCTGTGGGGGATGCAAAGCTTTGCTTTTTGCTTTGGTGAACTGTACGCGTGGTCAGTGGAAGTGGAATTCATTCTGCTTGCTGCGGGAAATGTTGAACAGTGTTAGGGAGTCTCCTACCCACCAAAAAGCAGTATGGTAGAACAACTTTCTGCTGCCAGAGGCCTCACTGCTCCCACACTGGAGGTTGGTGTCTGCCCACCCAGCTGTGAGTCCTGAAACATTTGGGCTGTGGATTCAGAGATGGGTAGACATGACACATGTAATTTCTTTATGTTTAGAATTAACATGCTAACCCTGTGGTCTTCTGTTGAACCCAAATTATTTGTTCAGATGTTGGTTATTTTTTGGGGGCACAAGGAAGTACTTTATCTTTTGTTTTAATTAAATACACACGTGATTGTTGAATTACCTCATTTTTCAAATTGCTGCAGAACTGCCCGTGCCTTGCACAGTTCTGTGGACAGCTGCAGTTCCTTCATGTGGAGATGCTTACATGATATTTTGCTAGATTAAGGCAGTGTTAATGGAGACATCTTCAAGGCAGCAGATCAGAACTGGAACTGTGCTCTGCCTTTGGTCTGTTAAAATCTGAAGCATCAAGAAAAGGGAACCTGCCTTGCCAAGGCACTCACAGCTGAATCCTTGGAACAGCCAAATGCGGATCACTGCACTGCACAGCTCTGAGAGCTTTCTGCTCTCAGGACCAAACATCTGGTGCCTGTGCTGAGTTATTTCAGCCTGGCTTGGATGGGATGGGTCAGGCCCACCTGCACCTCGCAGGGCTAATGGCAGAACTCTTTTAGGGAGAGTTAAGCTTGTCTTTTCTACATGACTGTCTTGCAAATCCTCAAGGTTTAGACTGGAGGTTGCTTGTCCTGCTGAGTCCTTTTTCTGAGGTATGGATTAGAATCTCATCCAACAAGCAGCTCTAACAGTGAGCTGTCCTGTGTTAGAAGCAGTAATTGCAGAAACTGGGGTGCAGGATGGGGTAGGTTTGGAAAATGCCTGGTGGTGTGAGCCACTGGGGTGTGCCTGACCTGGCAGGCAGGATTGTGCTGCAGTTTGAGGCCAGTGCCTGAGATGGGAAAGGCGATTTGTGTGGGTGTTAGCACAGCCCTGCAAAGTGCTACAAGCTCTTCCAGGTGATGCCTTTAGGGTAAGGCTGCTGCAGGGAGCCATCAGGTCTCCAAACTGAAACTCCCACAGCTGGAGAGTACCTGTAGGAGAGGTGTGTGCTGAAATGCAGGGTGAGGAAAGGAAGCCATGGGTACATCTAGACTGTGCACTTTGTTAGTTGTGTATGTTTCATTCCTGATGGAAAGATCCTTGCTCTCCTCCACTGTTGCTAAATCTACTGGGTTTCAGTTACCAGAAAACACTCTGGTTGTACAGAGAATGAGTTTCAAAGTTTTCTAAGGAGGGAGTTGATAATCTGAAGGAGGAGTTAGCTCTCATTCAGTTGCTGGGACAAAACGTGAACCCAAGGCTCTGGGCTGATGTAAAAGCTGACAAGGAAAGAAAGCTCTTGCCTTGTTCTGAGCATGAGAAAGGGCTGATTGTATTCACCAGTCAGGTGCTAGAGCATCAGCATCATGGAAAAAACCACAGTGGGAGCAGAGGATTTCATCAGAGGTAAATGCTGACTTGGCTGCTGGGTCTTTCCTTTTTTACCTGTAGCTTGGTCAGTGGCAGTGAAGTGTGTTAGATGTACCTGGTCCAGAACAGGCTGGCAGCAGCAGCTCCAGCTGCACAACAGGGTTCTGGTTAACCCCTTTCTGCACCAATTTTGGCATGGTGCTCAAAATCTCCTACTTCTGGCCAGGCTGGAAGGGCTGTGTAGACAAACATTGCCATTTATTCATTCCAGGGTCAGGGAAGCAGCAGAGATCTGCTGGCTTCTCTCAACCAGATAACCCACACTGCTGAGCTGAGGGGGGAAACCTGATTTTGCAAATTGGCCTGTCCTGTGGCAGGAAGCAGAGCCCTGGCATGCTGAAGAGGCCCCTGCCAGGTGCAATAGCCCTGAAACCTTCCATGTGTGACACCATTGAGAGTCCCCATGTCCTGCTGCTGTCTGTCCATCTTGGGGTGACAAACAAACAGAGGGAACATGCCTTCACCAGTTGTGGCAGGAACTCTTATATGTGGAATCAAAAGGAACTATTTATTTTCTCAGCCAGGTTTAGGATTACTTTTGAACCATTTTTTTTTTTAAAAGCCAAATTCTTTAATAGCAGGTGAGGACATAATTTTGACCAGATGCCAGTTCTTCATAACTAACACTATAGCTTCTTTAGGAATGAAAGTATGTTGTCCCATACCTTCAAACTCATTAATCTTTGCTGAATTTTTTCCAGAGCTTGCCCTCTGCCCACTCACACAGCTAAAAGGTAGACAGCCCCTTTGCCAAGTAAATGACACTCTCAGTGCTTTGGAGAATGTGTCTGTTTGGACTTAGGTTTTGGCTTTGCAGTGAATTTCATGCAAGCCCTAGACACATTTTTAAGCAGACTCATTAACAGGCAGTACTAGAAGAGGAATTTGGAGGTTTGGAACTCAGTGTTGGTTTTTTTTTTTTTTTTCCTTGTCTGTACAGTGAAGAATTTCAGTGCTTGTTCAAAGCTGTTTCACTTTTTCAAAAGCTGAGCAGCCCAAACCCTCACATCTTTTGAAGTGAGTTGCACTCCCAGGTCACTAAAAAGGAGGTTTTGAAAATCTGGTGCCTGCTGCTACTCTTGAGAGGTCCCTCATTTGAGAATCCAGGCTGGCCTTCCACAGCAGGCCTTTATTCTGGATAGAAGGTGGTTGCACAGTGTGTGAGGTGGCTGCAGTAGCTTTCTAAGGCTTGCCCTCAGTGTCACATCTCCAAAGCCTCATCTGCACCTTGCTGGGAGAGAAAAGCAGTTGCCTTCCTGCCAGCTTCCAAACTGCAACAGGAGCAGTGCTTAAAAAAAAATCTCCAAGACCAGAGATAATGCAGGCAAGGGGAAGAGACAGATGGAAAACTAGGAGAAAAAAACAACCCTCCAATAGTCTCTTGTAAGTGGAGAGGATTTAAGGCAAACTGTGCTCCTTGACAAAGGGGAGTGGGAGGAAGGAAAGGTGGCTGGTTTACAACAGGCACCTCCTTTCTGTGGGTGAAAGGAAGCATTCAATTGCCTTGTGGTGAAATGCTTTTGGCTCTGGACTGGGGTGGAGCTGAGGCACCCACACCCAGAGCCTGGGGCTGGCTGTGCACAAGTGCAGAATGATAAGGCACCTCCTGAGCACAGCAGTCTGGACCCTGCCAAGAGCCTGTGTGAGCTCCAGAATCCATCAGTGTGACATCACTCTGCACCTCGCAGGGCGTGGGGAGCAGGGCCTGCTGTTCCCTGTGAGCTCAGAGGGAGTGGGGATTGAGCACAGCCACCTGAGCCCTGCCTGTGCCTGTGGGGACACAGGGCTGGTGCTGCCAGACCCTCAGCTAGCTGCTTGGGAGCAGGAGGAGCTCTCCCTGCTGGAGCTGACAGAGTGTGTGTGCTGGGCTGTTGCTCTCAGCCACTCCTGGGGCAGCCTTTCTCTGCAGCCTGCACGGAACATTGCCCCATAGCTGGGAACCAGCTGCCTGCTGCTCCCTAGTGTCACCCAGGCTTCCCCATGGGTGTCTTGGGGCAATACTTCAGTCAATCTTATTTCCTCATCCACCAGCACATCACCTCGTGTCAGGTGCCTGTGGGAGGCAGGCACTGCTTGGCACAGAGGAGTTTGGAAAATACCAGACGGATTGACCAGAGCTGTTTGTTGCATTTTTTCCCTCAGGATACTCTCCTACAACAACCTGACAAGGCTGGACGAGGGAAGCCTGGCAGACCTTGGGGGACTGCACGTGCTGCGGCTGAGCCACAATTCCATCAATCACATTGCAGAAGGGGCTTTCAGGGGACTCAAAAACCTCCGTGTCCTGTAAGTGGCTCTCAGCTTTTGTCAGACCACACCCATGTTCCCTCCACAGTTTGTGTTCTGACAGATGGTTCTGCTTTGAAGGTGCTTTGGGTGCCCATGTCTGGCAGTTTCATGTTCCTGAAACTGCCAGACCTCAGCTGACCAAAAATCCCTGAGGTCTCATTCCTGCAGCTAATAGCAGTATTTCTCTTGCTATCATATTGACTTTAATTGAAATTCTTAGAAAACCTTAGTTTCTTTTGGAAAGAAAGAAACTCAGAAGGAGCGGGGAATGATTCCTTCCACTGACAACACTGGAAATTTGAACATCCTCTTAAATGTGCTATTGAACATTTCTGTGTTGTTACTTATTTTTTGTACTGAACATGATATATAAAATTATGATTAAATATAAAATTATTATTATTATTATTATATGATGTTAATAAAAAGACAATTGGAAAACAAAGAAATGTAGAGGTTGGGCTTGGTATCTGTATCAGAAGTGTAGCAACACATGAAGCTTCACCCAGCCTTCAGTCCAGTCATAGAAATAAGAAGCTTTTGCAGGCACCATGCAAATAAGCAGAAGTCTTTAATGCAGTTGGGCCCAGGAAACATTTTGTGCTCTGATTTTCATGGGAAACCCTGAAAAACCAAAAAGTTGCCAAGGGCAAAGTTTTGTGAGCTTTAGTACTGAATTGCAGAAATTATCCATCCAGTGCTGGCTGTGGCCATTTACCACAGACTTTTATTTTAAAGCCACTGACACAATGTAATACCTGGAAATGTGATACTGCAAATGAGCTTGCCTAGTCCAAATACCAGCCTGTAAGGTTTTAGGGGCAGTAGAGCCCATTAGACAGATCAGTGTGACCTCCTGTGGGATGCCATTGTGTTGTATTTGTGGGACCCCTGACGAGGGAAGGAAGGAATGATTAATTTGTTCTTAAAAGGCTAATTGATTATTTTATGTCCTATATTATGTTAAATAATACTCTACTAAACTATACTAAAGAATAGAGAAAGTATACAGGCAGAAGGTTAAAAAGGTACTAATGAAAATTTGTGACTCAGAGTCTGATGCAGCTTGGCCGTAATTGGCCATTAAGTCAAAACAATTCACAGCAGAAACCAATGATACAACCACCTGTTGGTAAACAATGGGTAAACACATTCTAAAGCAGCAAAACACAGGAGAAGCGAATCAGATAATTATTGTTTTCCTTTTTCTCTGAGGCTTCTCAGCTTCCCAGGAGAAGAATGCTGGGCAAAGAGATTTTTCAGAAAATATGATGGTGACACAGTTGTAGCATTGTACCATTACCCACTGAGAGCTGTGTGAGACTGAAGTGCATCTGGGCTTGTCTTATGAACATCAGAAGATGGGGATCCAGTTCCATTCCTGCAGTTGTGTTGCCTCTGTCTCCCTGCTGGAACCTGCAGGGCTGCTGGCTGCTCTCCTCCTCTGGGAGCTGCAGGCTCAGCACCTTCATCTGGCACACCACAGAGTTCTCACAGCCCTTGTGACAGCACCAGACACGTTCCCAGGCTGGTTGGGTTCAGCAAACTGATTTAATTCTTCCTTCAAAAGAAAAAAACACACTTTGATACTTTTATTCCTCTTCAGAAGCCCTTTGTGGCCCAAGTCATTAAAAGGAAATGGGAACAGAAAAATCTCCCCTCTTTACAGTACTTTTTGCATCTTACTCTTTTCTTTACTGAAGTTCATAGTGAAGGAAGTGACTGGAAAGTGAGTTTGGGTTTTGTTTGCTTTTTTTAAACTTAAGCCAAAGCCTTTCAGCCACTGGGCATTGAGAAAGGGACCTCTCTGAGGCAGCTGTCAAGACCGGAACTAAAGGTTTCCAAAGAAAAATGGAGGGGAAGGGAAGCTGGTCCTTCTCTTTGCTCTGCAGTGAATGTGGAGCCTCTTTTATGTCCAGGGCAGAGGGGGGGAGGTGGAGAGGGGAGTGTGTGAGCGAGCTCTAATTTAATAAAGAGAAAGGCCTATTGGGTCCTGCACCTGGTGAAAAAGAGCTGAGCATGCTTTAATTATGGGCTATTGTTGGGGAGCCTTTGGTGGGTGTGAAACTGCTGAAATGTGGAGCTATTCAAATAGAGGTCAGGCCGGAGACCTCTGAGCACAATGATTAACAAGGCTGCGAGCATTCAAGCTCAGCCAGCCAGAAAGAATAGGAAATTGGCAACAGGGGCTGGGAGAGGAGTTGGGATACAAAGAGAGCTGGGCCAAAATACCCCACTCTTTTTTTCTCTCTCTCTATTTTCACTCATTTGTTAAAAAGGTTTTTTATTCCTCCTTTCTAACACTAAACCTTTGAGTTGCCACTGGATGAACAAGCCAATACCATTTTCTTTCCCTTTTTCAAGAAAACACAATGTGTGGCAGTCAATTAATAAAAGTGTGTGTCAGAGCTCCTACAGGCTGTTCCCACTTGTCTGTCTCTGCCATGGGAAAGGTTTTGCTGCTCCAAAGACCAGTAGCCCGTGGTGAAACTGAAGAGGAGAAATGTCTGAGAAGGGATTTTCCCTTAAAAAACAAACAGAACAAGGGACATTGGCTTGGCAAGCTTAGGGAAAATGTAGAAACTGAGCTCCAGGAGGATGGATTTGCTCCTGTCCCACCAGGATGGTGCTGGAAATGCCAGCACATCAAAGCATTCTCTTGGACTCATCTCTTGGCCCACAGCATTATGTGGGCCCACACCCCACGGGGATGTTGAGGTTTTGTCCGTGCCTTTGGCACAGAGCAGCCCCCAGGTCACCCTGACATCCACAGTGATGCTGGCTAAGGCCAGGGACATAAGATTCTCCAGGGACATAAGATTCAGGTCTCAGGCTTAAGCCAGCTGAGAAACAGGAATTGTGGCTTTTGGCCATCTCCCTTCACATCTTTAGTTCACCCTAAAGCAGAGAAAGGAGCAAAGACTGAGCCAGCTGAGGGAGAGCATTCCCATATTGAAACTGGGGCTTTCTTTTAAATTTGTTTTCCCTTCCTGTGAGTTACTGTGTATTTGTGCTGCCCAGAAGCCACACTGTATTGCCTGTGTCTGGAATGTTGCAAAATGCAGGGGGACTTGGTTTTTCTTTATTTGGTCTTAATATTTTTTTTATCTGGAAACATTCTGATACTCATCTTCAAAAGGTGTGAAAGGAGTACCTGAGGGCTCAGGGGTTATCTGGATGCTGAAGTTTGCTTTGGTGCTGTGTTTTGCCAGGTTTTAAATCAGAGTGATGTAACAAAACCAACAAAGCCTATTTAGTTTTTCTTTCTTTTTACTTAACATTGGAAATGATGAATTTCTGTCTGTGTTGCTGGGTATTCATTGCTAGCTGGATTTAAAAGCTGGGAGGGAAGGATTTTTAAACAGTCTGTTTAAACAGCTTTTGTGGATCTCTGTGTTTGTTCTGTGTGCTTGTTTTTCTTCAGACCTCTTTGACTCTTATAATTGATGGTCAATTTGAAAGCCAAAAGAAGCTAACTTTGAAAAAGGAATTCTCTTGTTTTTTTTTTCAAATGGTTATACAGAGTTAGGCTGGTGTAGTGATGCTGGCACTTTCCTTTGTTGAGTTTTCAAGTTCATTGCCAGAAAAAATGCAGCTTTGTAGAAAATACGCCAAATCATCTTCCTAAGATTCAGCTATAGACAAATACACAAACACACTGGAATACCCAAAGTGATCTTATTTCATGGTAGCAGCATTTAAGGACAGCTGTTTCTTTCAGTTTAATTTTGGCACTTTATTTTCATTTTACTCCTGTTTGGATATGCAGAACTAGAAAAGGATAGAAACCTACTTGGTAAAAAGTAGCTGTCTCTGAGGGTTTCAGCTAGGAACAAGCCAGAGCTCTGGAATGCACCATGTGTGGGCAGGAGAAGTGATTGGTGCTGCTTTGCTGCAGGACTCTGCATTTTCTGGTGACTGTCAGGGGAAAATGGGCAGCTCTCCTGTGGCACTCTCCAGCTTCCTCCACTTGTTTGTAACAGTGACATTGGGACTAAGTTGCTGATTCTGAGCTCTCTCTTGTCCTCTCCCCAGGGAACTGGACCACAACGACATCTCGGGCACAATAGAAGATACCAATGGAGCCTTTACAGGCCTGGAAAACCTGAGCAAGCTGTGAGTATCCCTGGGCTTGAATTCTGCAAGCCAGTTTTGTTGTATGCCTGTGTGGGGTTGAGTCTGTCCCTTTTCATGCAGCCTCTCTCACCTTGGAACAAGAGAAAGAACAACAAAAAATCTGAGCTGTGGTAGTTTTGCAGGCTCACTGCAGGAGTGCAAATGTGGTTTTCAAGCACTGATGTTTTTAAGTAGGTATGGGGCAATTATTTCCTTTCTAAATGGTGAACAGACGGTGCCACATACTGCAGTTCAGACACAGAGAGAAACTTAAGCTGTTTTCATGTATAAAATTCAACCATTCCTCACTTCTAAAAGCAAACAAGCCACCAAAAACGACCCCTTGCAATCTCCAGTGAGGCACTGATTGATGCAGCAAATAACAATAAACAGAAGAGAAAAATCACCCCACTTCCTGTTACAGCAGAGGATTGAAACAGGACTCGTTTCTGTGGGATACTCTTTCTGAGAGTGATCTTTTGGGCTCAGTTCCATGTGCAGTGACAATAAAAGGCACCATGGGGCACAGGCTCTTGAAGAGATAAAAAGAATCCCAAGGCAAGCATGCGCCTTGCAAATGTTTATGGCTTGCTTGGCTTTCGCCAGGGTTTCACATTGCTCTGTGCAATCCCCGTTCCATTTGAAATGGGTGCTATAAATCAGCCCTGTCAGAGGAGTCTCTGATGGCTTGTGACAAATCAAGAGTCTCTAATCATTACCTCTTGCCTTTGTTGAAGTTCTCAGTGCCCCCCGTGCCGCTGTCTGTGCTGCTGGGATGGCACAGCCAGAGGTGCAGTAAAAGCACCTCGATGGAGAGCAGATGGCTGCAATGAATCCTGGCAGGAGGAGGGATATTGTCACACTCTCATCAGAGACTCCTCAGGGAGCAGGATGAGCCATGGCAGGGATTGTGGGGATGCAGTGCTTAGAGGAGACAAACCTGAAATCACAGACAGAGATGGCATTTGGTTGTTGCTGAGGAGAGTCGCTGGGTCCATGCAGAGGGGACCAAGTTGCAGCTGCCAGTAAAGTGGGGCAGAAGGCAGAGGAGGATTTAAGGACAGGGGGAGCCAGGCAGGGAAGCAGAAGCAGTGTGGGGGTGAGAGGAAAGTCAGTAAGAATTGCTGTGCATGCAGAGTCAGGGAATCTTCCCGTGACTGCCAGAAAAAAAGCAGAGGAGCAGATGTGGTGGGTAGAAGAGTCCTTGGCTGCCTGACTGAAGTGTTTGGTTTGTCTGAAGAAACCAGTGAGACCATGTGAGCAGCTGGAAGGATGAGGGGAGCAGAGACTCTGTCCAGTGGGATTTGCAGCCTGTGAGGATTCTGGGTCTGTAGTGCTGCTTTGACAGGGCACAGAAGGTGGTGGAAAGGAGCAGACAGAGCTGTCCTGGTGGTGCATCCCTCCAACAGGGCCACAGGCATGGGAGCAAAACCAGTGGTCCCAAGTGATCAGGATATGTTAGAAATGCTGGGTGCAGATAACAGAGAGTGGTGAAAAATCCAGTGGAGACAGCATGGAAGGAAAGAGCTCAGCAGAAGGATTGACTTGGAAAGCAGGAGCAGTGAGCCCTGATGAGCTGTGGGGGTCAGGCAGAGGCCAGGAGGAACAGCAAGGAGCAGGAGGGGGAAGGAAGGGAGCAGGGGCAGCCTGTGGGGTTATGTGCTGGGAGCTCTGGGCAGAGCAGCTATTGCTCTCCCCTGTGAAATGCCGTGGCCTGATGTGATGTTTGTCACCCAGCACAGGGAGCACCTCCAAAAGGTGCCTGGCTTGGGCTGCCAGTAGCCAAGGATGCACGAAGGGCTTGTGCAAGTCTAAGGGAGTTGGGTTTATGTCTTTCTTTCCTTTGTTGACTGATGCCTGTCATTGCACGTGGACTCAGGCCAGCTCTGAGGGTGGCGGACGGATGTGTGCAGGGAAGGTTTGTGCAGGGATTGCAGCACATTTCTTAGCCTGGAAGAGCATGTGGATCAGGTTGGTTTGGGGCAGAGAGGAGTGGTTTGATTACTTAACAGAATGAACTGCTGTGGGACAGACAACTTGCTGGGATTGTTCACTGTCAGCCAGAATGTAAGGCTAAAAAACACTTAAACATAAAATTATTTTATTTTTATTTCTGGAGGCGTTTTGAGAATACTTTTGAGTGGTCACTTTTAAAGGGATCTCCTCAGAACTGTTTTAGCTTATCAGCACATAAATCCCAGACTGGTGATTTCTAAGGCTGAACTGAGTATCAGGATTTTTTTGTAAATAAAAGATCAGCCCTTTCAGCAAACATTTCACTGTGTGATTTAGGGCCTGTGTTTAAACCGTCAGCCTCTTTAAATGCATTAGCATACAAAAAATAAATGGGCACTTCAGAGGAGACCTTCCAATGAATTAATAATCACCTCAGCTCTGTGGAGATTGCCTTAAAAGCCATTCCCCTTTGATCTGGCACAGATTAGCCTCTGAAAGGATTTAGCACAGAGAGGGTTGTTCGCTGACATGAAGGTGTTAAACAGAGATGGAGAGGCCAGTCACTTTAGCCTTCTCTGAATTATATATGAAGCACTCCAGGATGGAGAGCACAGGCCTAAATTAAAATGTTGCTTGAAGAAAGAGGGAGTTGAGAAGCACTGAAGCATAAAAAGCACCGGTGGAATCACTGTGGAACAAGGAGGTTCCTAATTATTCAAGCTGCTAAATGTAACCAGCTTTTTGATGGCTCACTCAGCGAGATCTTCCTGCAGGTGCAAAACTGGCTGGAGGAGAAAACACTGCAATGAATTGTGTGCTTGGCATGTAATTACCCTGGTGCAGTCTCCAGGAGAGCTTGTGCTTGGCTCTGCCCCGTGGAGGAGGTTCAGGCCAGCAGTGGGATGGCTAATTGTGGCTGTGTTCTGCTGCCTTCACATTCCGGTCTTCACAGCCCTTTGATGGGGGCCTCTAGGTTCAAACTCTCAGATTTCTAGAGGCACTTAATTGAAATTAGTTGCAAGGAGTAATGAGTTTGCTGAGGCCTGACTTGTTGTGTGTGTTAGGTATTTCTCATGTCCAGGCATCGAGCTGTGTGCACAAGTGGTGTAGCTGTGTATTCCCTTCCCCAGGTGCACTCCTTATCTCTGCACAGATAATTGAACAGATATCAGCAGTATCTCCAATTTTCAAAGACCAAAATCTGTTGAACAGTAATAGAAATCTGCAGCTATCAAACCCAAGCTCAGCATAATTTTTTTCCAGCAGCAGTTGCCCATCTAACTTCCATTAGAATCATAAAGGTTGGAAAAGGTATTTAGGATCATCAAGCCCAACCATTAACCTAGCACCATCACCATGTTCATCATTAAACCATGTCCTGAAGTGCCACATCCACATGTTTTTGAACAATTCCAGGGATGGCAACTCTGCCACTTCCCTGGGCAGTCTGTTCAATGCTTACAATCCTTTCTCTGAAGAAATTTTTCCTAAAATCTAATCTAAACCTCCCCTGGCACAGCTTGAGGCCATTTCCTTTAGTCCTTATTTTATCCTTACCTTGTCCTTATAACACAGGAATATGGCTGCAGAAATCAGTATGTATGGATGCAGCCATTTGATCAGAGTTTACATATAATAAATTATTTACTGTATTAATCATTCTAATGGATTTTTCAAAACCTTCATTAATGCAACATCCCTTTTACCAAATGCTGGCACACATGACTGCACACATATTTTGGTGCTGAGGGTATTTGAGACTGGGCTTTCCTGCATCCAGTATATAACCAAATTATCCTGACATTTGAAAAGTGCTTTGTGGAAAGCATTGACAAGTTCTTGGAAATGTATTTGCTCGTGGAATGGCTGCACATGCTCCATCCTGTACTCCTTTCCCTGGCCAGTAAGCAAGCAGTGGGGCCATCATAGTTTTAAGTCGTCTTGGGGTGCTGATAGTGCCTTCACACCCTATACTGAAGGACAGCTCTTGAAAGAAAACTCAAAATCAAATGCAGCACCAGATGTGCCCTTTTTTCATCTGAAGTGCCCTGAACACCATGTGGTGATAACAGATGCACCTGGAGGATAAACCTTAGAGAGAGCCTGGGGAAGAAAGCAGTTCCTAATTAATGACACTGGTTGATGTTTTATTAAAACAGGTGAGAGAACTATCCATTTGGCACAAGCCCTGCCCCTGGCCATCAGCACTGGTCAATATTTATGGAGAACTGTTGCTCTGGAGATGACAGCTGGGCTGGGATCTCTCCAGCTGGCTGTTTTCTGCTGATAGCCCCTCGTGCCACTGCTGATTCAGAGGAATGCTCTCTGGTCACAGATGCAAGCAAGCCCACTCCTCAGCTCTGCACATTACCTGCCCTGCCTTTTTCTCCTTGCAGTTGTCCCTTGGCTATGATCTGTTGCACGATGTTGCTTTGCTGTTGCATTTACCAGGAAGGAACGAGCAGTGCCTCCAGTCAGCTGCTGTGTGAATGTGCAGCCCTGGGGCAGCCCTCAGCTCTGTGTGCTGATAGCTGCTCGGGCCAAGCATCAGGGAATAAATCACCACTCTCCTTCCTGTCTGGGTAGAAGTCAGAAATGAAAAGTTTGTGGGGAGAAACCAATGTCTTGTTAAACTGTCACTGCACTTAATCCTGTCCACAACCAGCCTGTGAAGAACAGAGGGGACCTTCTGTTACTCAGCAAGCTGGTTCCCAAGCACAGGAGCAAACCTGCCTTTTTACATGATATGGCACATTCCCTTTTGCGCTGTCATCACTATTAAATTCAAATACAGATAAAAGGATTTAATTTCAGGAGCAGGAAAGCGAGTGTGCTTCAGCCCTCTTAATCTCTGTGCAGTTCAGATTTCCTGGGACTTACACTGAGTGTGTATATCAGATAAAGCCACACTAATTGTGTTTTTTATTTTTTTTTTTTTTTTTTTTTTTTTTTTTTTTGCCACTCTCTCCCCATTTTCTTTCATTTATCTGGCACTGGATGTTTGGAAACTGCAGAACTCTGTTTGGAAACAAGATCAAGTCGGTGGCCAAGAAAGCGTTCTCAGGGTTGGAGGCTCTGGAGCACCTGTGAGTAACCCACCATGCCTCAGAGTTTGGGAAGGGGGGTCTGCCAAAAGTAGCTGCTTGAGAAATCTGCTAGCAATTTAATAGTGTCTTTGTAAACTGAGAAGCCAGTCCATTTGTAGGGGCCACCTGCTTCCTTCTCATTATAAGTCCACCTCAACTTTGGCCTTTTTTTGTGCCAGGAACAAAGTTATAGAACATATGGGAAATTTGCATGCTCTTAATTTTTGAGAGTATCACCTTGACTTGCACATTACTGCTTTGCAGGCTGTTAGCCATGAAGAGGCTGGTGCAGGCATAGCACTCTCTCCTCCTTTGCCCCAGCTCCCTCCTAAACCCAGGCTCTAGCAGTGACACGTGTTACAGATGACTGGGTTTGATGCATCCCCACTGAACATGCCCATTCAGCACAACCCCCTTAGAGCCATTTGCAAGAAGTAAATTTTGGCTGCCTCTGTGTAATTTTTTTCTGTGTCCCAAAGCTGATGACTCCAGCAGTGATTCATGAATAACCTCCTTTCTTGGATTAAGACAAGTTAAAGTATATGTGACTGTGCTCTACATGTTTTATTGGCTGTTGATTGTATGAAATGTTATGGCCATCAAGAGCACACTGAAAGATTTGGGCTGCCTGACTGGGAGTACATTCCCAAATAAAGGTGCCCTTAATTCTGTACTGAAATTGTCCTCTTTAGGCAGTGCTCATCCGCCCTACAGGTCACTCAGTAAACTTCAGCCCTAAATCTGACACTGTGCTTTTTCAGAGAACAATTTTTTTAATTAGCAATAGTTGTAAGGGAAGCCTTTAACCCCTTCCTTTGGAGATACTGGGATTTCTTTAAAACAGTATCCTCTCCAAGTCACTTTCAAATAATTCCTCAGATGCTGCTTAGTGCAAGTATTTGCTTTCTTTTATGTTTGCTGAAGGTCTAGCCTGGGGTACCACATTCCTGACTATCTTTGGTTATTGAGGGGGCTGAGGAATTTCTGAGCTATGGATGATGGAGGTAGCTCAGACTGAGAAAATGCAGTGAGAAGATGGGGTAGGGAATGGCTTAGTGATTCAGTTAAGTGTAATTTTTGTTGGCTGGCTATTGTTCAGCTATGCTTTATTAATACAAAGGTGTTTCGAGGAACATTTCTATGCGCTGTAAGTGCTGAAGGCCTTAACAAGGAGCTACCAAATCACCTTTTACTTGAGTTATTGCTTAAATCAGTGTGGAGAGGCTCTGTCCCAGCCATGGCATCTCTTTTGCTGACACTGCCTGTGGTTGTGCCTGCAGGAACCTCGGGGCCAACGCCATCCGCTCCATCCAAGCCGATGCCTTTGCCAGGATGAGGAGCCTGCGGCAGCTGTGAGTGATTGCCCTGCTCACACCCCCCTTGGGCAGGAGGGATCCTCCTGGCCCTGCACCTGAGCAGCAGCACATTCTCCACATTGCCACTCATTCATTTCCCCCACGCCTGCATCCTCCTCTGTGGGGTGTTTTTACACACGAGGAGCTGTCATTGCATGTAATAGTGAGTGAAATTAGATCATGGGGACAGGTTCTTCCAGCAGGTTTGTGCCTGTGCAATTATTCATCTCCGTTCAGGAAGTCCAGCCCTGCTCCTGTTAGCCAGCTCTCCTGCTCAGAGCACCAGGGATTTAATTCCCATCTGCTCCCTTGGTGCTCCTGTGTTTAGGGTTCACACACAGGACTGATACTGCAGTGATAAGCACCATTTGAACTGCATCCACTTGTCATTCAGCCTTCTGGTGTAAAAATACAGATGTGTTATCAGAGCTGCTGCTTGTGCTCCAGGCTGGGGCTCTGCATTGTTATCAGACACTGTTTCCAGTCTTGCCTGGTTTCCTTTTCTCTTCTTCCCCATGAATATTTAATCCACTGTCAGTGTGTTGCTATGCCCCAGAGTAGTGCAGTGTCTGTGGAACACAAAATAATTTATTTGGTATTTGGGCAGGTACAGGTTCTTGCTCCTGACATTGGAAATGGGAATCAGATGGTCACTGCTGGTAGTGACACTTGATACCAGTGACAGGCAGTGAAGAAGATAAACACTGTGTGTCTGTTGTGTGATTAAAAACTTTATCTTCTGCGCTGGCACTTGCAACAAAATTGAGATGAAAGACTGATCCTATTAGGAAGAGATAGTGAGATCCTAGATAATGTGTGAAGGAATGTTTATAAACTGGAGAAGTTCAGCTAGAGGACATTTACATGCAGAATGCACTGTGCTGAAGGATCTCCTGACCTGTCCCAAGTAGCCAGGAGGGTTTTATGCCATCATATGTGTTAGAGGCTACACATCTTTCTAGAATAGGAAAGTGGACAGCTTTGAAAAGTCAAATCCCTATATTCCCTCCCTTTCCAGTCAATTTCTTTCTTTTTCCCTTCCCTGCTCATTGTGAATTCAGGATTTCCTGAGGTATTGGGTAGAAAATTAGCAAGATATTCACATCTTATAGTGCAGTGCTGGAGTTGGGATTCTGCTGTGCTCTTGATACCCTGCTCTTGCATAGCTTGTAGGATTGCAGGACAGGAGCTCTCTCTGGGGCACTTTCCCAGTCTCTGAGGCATCCTCACATTCAATTCCAAGGATCAGACTTGAGCTTTTCAAACCAGACCAAAGTATGAATGCCCTGTTTGTGTAAATGTGCAGGTCTTCACTGGCCTTAGAGCTATGCTGACCTATAATTTGGCCCAGAATATTAAAAAAGATCCCACATTAATCCCAAAGCTCCCCTTTTCTTTGCTCCTTTTCCACACCTCTTTTCCTAACAGAAGGTGCTAAGCTAGTGTTGGATCAGAGAATTACAGAATCCTACAATGGTGGGGTTGGAACTCAGGATACTGAGAAATGTTTATGTGTTTTGTTTTCCAGACTAGTTACTGTTTCTGTGGGGTTTACACAAATACATTTGGTCATTTCTCCTCTACTGCTGCTTCTAATCAGTAAACACAACTCCAGGGTCACCTTATGGAAGGCAGGGTCTCTCTGCTTAGTGCTCTGCCATGGAGGGAACTCGAGGCCTTTCAGTGGGAGCTGAGTGTCCTCTCTCTCTGGTCAGCAGTTAAATGCTGAATTTGGTCCCCACCAAAGGCTCAAACCACAGGGGCAGAGCAGGAGCCCATTGATGTGTCTTGTCTGTTCCTGGGGATCACTCTGGGAGCTGTTAATAATTACCAGGAGCTGCAGAGTGTCACTGCAGTACAGGAGGGGGTTTCTCTAGTGGAGATGAAATGCTGCCTAAATGTGTCATGCCTGTAACATCTTTAGTGCCTCCAGGACATGCCTGCAGTCCTTTTTCTTCCTTCCACCCATGCTGGGGAGGCAGGAGGAATGTGTTCAACATGAAAGGGCTGTGAGTTTCCCAGCCTTCCCTCCGTGCAGGACTCACAGCAGGCTGGTGTTGGTTTTGTTTCCCTGCAGCCACATTAACAGTGACAGCTTCCTCTGTGACTGCCAGCTGAAGTGGCTGCCCCAGTGGTTGGTGGAGAAGGAGCTGCAGTCCTTTGTGGTGGCCACCTGTGCCCATCCTGAGTCACTGAAAAGCAAGAGCATTTTTGCCATCCAGCCAGAGAGTTTTGTGTGTGGTAAGTCTTGCCTGCGTGTTTTGAGGTTGTCTGAAGGGTAGGAGTCACTTGGGAAACATTTTCTTTGAGTACCAGCATGTTATTATGAGAGGGTTTCTGTTTTGTTTTGTTATTCAGTGGGATCAAAGGAAGCCCAAGCCTGCATTTAAAAAATTTGTCATTGGCTACAATTTATTTCCCACTAAAACCACACAGTGCATTGCTTGCATCCAGAGTATTCCTTACAGGGCTCCCTGAGTATTAAATCAAAAGGGACTAAGGCCTGTTCCACTTCCAGATGGGGCTGCACAAACACTTCCCCAGTCCTCTCTGTTTGGTAGTATCAAGACTGCAGCTGTAATTTTTTTCCTTTTGCAGTGTTCTAAGCTTTTTTGTGGATTTGTGTTCTTCACCCATCCTTTCTCCATCTTGGAGACAACAAAGAGTTAAAAACAAAACCCAGAGGAGAATCCCTCCATCAAAGCTGCCTCTTTGGGGCCAGTAAGGCCCACCCAAATACTGCAGTTGACTCTGCACCTGAGCTATGGTTTCAAAGCACACATAAACATCTACTGCCTTTCTCATAATGAAAAAGAAATTTAAATCATCAGAAGAGGCCAGATCAGTGCTGCTCAGGCATCCAGGTTTTGGGGAAAAGAAAGGCCTGGTTTGGGAGCCAAACCCTGTGCAGTGGAGCCAACCAGTGAGGATCCTGGGTGGAGCTGCACATGGCTGTTTGAAGGAAAAATGAGCTTTTGCAAACACTATTTAACTGAGCTGAATGCATGACTTGCAGTGCACACGGAGCAGAAGCTTTGTTCCAGTGTCCCTCCTGATCCCCCAGTGACAGGCTCTGCCTAGGTGGCCTCTGTCTGAGCAGGCTGGGAGGGAGCCTTGCTGTGCTCATCTGGAAGAAGAGATCCTGAAAGCTCCATCCCCACAGCAACATCACAAAGCAAAAGCAGCTTTGCTTCCCAGTGCCTGCCAAGTCCTCCAGGCACTAGTAGTCCTGGTTCCAGAGGCCTGGCTGTTTAATTAAACCTTAGTCAAATATTAAATTACACCATTTGTAGAAACCTAATAAATGAATCTGCTTGGAACCTTGCTAAAACCAACAGTCTTCAGGGCAGAGAGAGAGTGTGCAAAGCTTTCCACCCTGGTCGGGTGACAGGCAAATACAGCTGCTTCTGCTTTGACAGTCCTGGCAGTCCTGCATCATGGACTCCTTTAGGCTGGAAAAGACCTCTAAGATCTTTTAACTTTAACTTACCATTAACTTCCTATATCCAAACACACCACTAAACCTCATTGATACATCTTTTAAATACCTCCAGGGATGGTGACTCTACCACCTCCCTGTTCCCTGGGCAGCCTGTTCAGGTGCCTGACAGCCCTTTTGGGGAAGAAATATTTCCTATTTGCTAATCTAAACCGCTCCTGGCACAACTTGAGGCCATTGCCTCTTGTCCTGTTGTCTGGGAGAAGAGACCAATCCCCACCTCACTAAAACCTCCTGTGGGCAATTTTCCCTGGAGGTGACACTTGCAGCCTTTTAAGTGCCCTCTCCCCTCCTACTTCATGCCAGTACAGGTCTGGAGGTGAGGTTTTAAGTTCAGTCATGCTCTTCATGCTTGGGTTGTACAAGGAAGGACAACCTGAATACGGTCTGAATATCTTCTTCAGACCGTAGTATCTTTCTCAGATTCAGTTGGTGAAGGAGCTGGGTGTCTTGTAGGTGTCTGAGGTCACTCAGTGACCATCTCAGCCCCCTGAAGGGACCAGAGGAACCACAATCCCACACAGACCGACTCAGTGGGGCTGTGCGTGGCACACCTGCTCTACAGAGCATTGCTTATTTCTCATTTCACCTCTTGGCTTGCTCCAGTCTCCCCTCAGAGTCCAGCACTGACTGTTGCTGCTGTTTCCTCCCAGATGATTTCCCCAAGCCACAGATCATCATCCAGCCCGAGACGACGGTGGCTGTCCTCGGCAAGGACATCCGCTTCACCTGCCTGGCGGCCAGCAGCAGCAGCTCCCCCATGGTGTTTGCCTGGAAGAAGGACAACGAGATGCTGCACAACGCCGAGATCGAGAACTTCGCGCACGTGCGGGCCAAGGACGGGGAGGTGATGGAGTGCACCACCATCCTGCACCTGCGGCACGTCACCTTCGCGCACGAGGGCCGCTACCAGTGCGTCATCACCAACCACTTCGGCTCCACCTACTCCAACAAGGCCCGGCTCACCGTCAATGGTGAGTGGGAACTGCTTGCTCTTCTTCTCCCCAGCCTGAGCTCAGATGTGGTACAATTCTGTTGTGTTAGCGGGGTGCCCTGATAAAGGAAGAGATGATGAATCTGACTCCGCGTTCTCAGAAGGCTAATTTATTATTTTATGGTACTGTAATATATTAAAGAATGCTATACTAAACTATACTAAAGAATATAGAAAGGATACTTACACAATGCTAAAAAGATAATAATGAAAACTTGTGACTCTCTCCAGAGTTCTGACACAGCTTGGCACTGATTGGCCAGAGTCAAAACAACTCACAGTAGAATCCAATGGAACAATTACCTGTTGGGAAACAATCTCCAAACACATTCCAGACCAGCAAAACACAGGAGAAGCAAATGAGATAAGAATTGTATCCCTTTTCTCTGAGGCTTCTCAGCTTCCCAGGAAGAAAAATCTGGGTGAAGGAATTTTCCAGAGAATGTGAATGCCACACAATTTCTTGCTCCCGAGGGTCCATTCCTGATGGTGAGCTCTCAACCTCTGCACAGCAGCTGTTTGTATCCCAGTGGATGCTGGGAAATGCCCTGCGAGGAGCACACACCATTTTGGGTTGGCTGCCATCCAGCCAAGCACTTCAGCATGCATGTTCTTAGCAGCTTGAACTGCTGCTCTTTGGCTGCTCAGGTAGATTCTTTGCCCAGTGAAAACAAAAATACAAAAGGGATGCAAAGAAGGGGGATGTAGCAGTTGGAAGTTCTCTGTAGGAGAGATAACAGATATTTTTTTCCCAAGCTTTCACGGAAGAAAATTAGCTTTGATCCCAGCTCTAATGATCTGAGTTGGGGGTGTCATGGGCTCTGCAGACAGGTGTGTTCTGTAGAAACATGGGGTCACTCCCCAGCAGTTCAGAGCTATCCCGCAGAAGCACATGGCCATCCTCCTGCCCGTGGCTAACTGTCACCTTAATCCCTCTGTGGGAAGGAAAACAGAACTGCCCAGAAGACGGCGTTTCCCCATGGAATCACTAATGCCCTTTGTTTTTTTTTCCTTCCTCAGTGCTGCCATCATTTATCAAAACCCCCCACGACATCACGAGCCGGACGGGGACGACGGCGCGGCTGGAGTGCGCGGCCGAGGGCCACCCGCCGCCGCAGATCGCCTGGCAGAAGGACGGCGGCACCGACTTCCCCGCGGCCCGCGAGCGCCGCATGCACGTCATGCCCGACGACGACGTCTTCTTCATCACCGACGTCAAGGTCGAGGACATGGGGGTCTACAGCTGCACGGCTCAGAACTCTGCGGGCTCCGTGCTCGCCAACGCCACCCTCACCGTGCTGGGTGAGATGCCTTCTAGCTTTTATGGTTTTCATGTGTTCGTAATCCTGCTGTTCTTTAGTGTACGACTCTAAACTCCATATAGAGTGTTAGCTGCTGTTCTCCCATTTTGGTCAGAAAAAGCAATTCCTCTCTAGGCTTGGGAATCAAGGACACCTCAGGCCCTGAGAGATGGAAACAAAAGTCACTTGTGGGGGAAGCAAACTTGGGGTAAATTACTTCATTACCTGAAGCTGAAATTGGAAGATTAACCCCCAATATGTAAATGGACCAAACTGATAAAAGTGTGAAAACCCATGACCCATCATCCATTTTTGGGTGCAGTCCCTGGGGGTGCTTCATCTGCCCAAAATGAACCTGAAGGCCCTTCAATAAATGTAACTGCTTTTATTCCCTTAATTTTGTCTGGCCTCTGTTGTTAGGTAGTCCCAAAAAGGCATCACCAGGGCCCCAGGAGGCCAAGTGCAAGTAGGAACTGGGAGGGATGGCTGTTAAGCTCTTTACCAGCTGCAGATAAAAGAGAGACAGAGTCACATGGTCTGCTCAGTCTTGTTTCATTCTTTTACACTGTAGTTCACTAATGAAAAATAGCTGTTAAGTAAGAGAAGGAGCTGTAAGTCGCATCTCCTCTTGTGCTGAGGAAGCCCCTCCAAACAGTCTATTTGCTGTCTTGGACAATGACTTCAAAAGGAAATTGCACTTCATCCCTCTTGCTCTGTGAAATAATTCACGTTTCAGCTGTTGGCCCACAACCTCAGAAGTTTCTTGTTGGGAAAACTTAACACCAGTTGGTTGCTAGATCTGTTGTGGTGTGCAGCTGCCATATTCCTCAGCACGTTCCTGCTTCGCGCATTGCTGTGTCTGCAGGAACACGAGGAACATCCAGTGCTGATAAATCTGTTGTTACACTGTCCCTTAAAACTCAATTTCTGTGTTTGTTCTCCTGCAGAGACGCCATCTTTGGTCCATCCGTTGGAAGATCACGTGGTGTCCGTCGGTGAGACCGTGGCTCTCCAGTGCAAAGCCACGGGGAGCCCCCCGCCCCGCATCACCTGGCTGAAAGGCGACCAGCCCCTGGTGGTGACAGAGAGGCACCACTTCACCTCGGGCAACCAGCTGCTGATCGTCAGGAACGTGGTGCTGGAGGACGCGGGGAAGTACACGTGTGAGATGTCCAACACGCTGGGCACGGAGCGCGCGCACAGCCACGTCAGCATCCTGCAGTCGCTGGGCTGCCGCAAGGACCGCACCACCGTGGGCATCATCACCATCGCCGTGGTCTGCAGCATCGTGCTCACCTCCCTCGTCTGGGTCTGCATCATCTACCAGACCAGGAAGAAGAGTGAAGAGTACAGTGTCACCAACACAGGTAGCTGCAGCGTCCTGAAGCCCCCTCTAGGCTTTTGTGCTGCCAGACATCCCACCCAGGCTGAGCCGGCTCGTCAGGGAGCCTCACAATGCCCTGGAACTGCAGCTGGCTTATCTCCCTGGTTCTCCTGGGCTGGAACCACCTTTCACTTGCTGCTGAAGCATGTTCAGAGCTGTATTTCTCCCCTTAGCTTGCTCTTCAGGAAGGTCTTTTCCACTTGGCTGTAGTTCCAGCCATTGCTTTGCTACCTTGGTTTTCCATGACCATAAATGATAACTCTTGAGACAGTCCGGGTGATGTCCGTGATGCTGGGAACCTGTCTTGGTTTTTGGAAATCTGTATTTTCAAAAACTTTGAAGTCAAAATTTGAAAAATTAGACTTAGAAGCTGGAATCCCTTTTTCCATGTTGGGTATAACATCCCCTGGTGATGGGGGAGGTATCTGTGGCTTTTTAGAGGAAGAATTAGCACTTATTGCTTTATCCTGATACTCAGAGGGGGTAATTTGGTCTGAAATAAGTGTTGCAGTGAGAATAAAGTCTCCTGCCCTCCTTATGCAGCCTCTGAACAAAACAGAAGTATGGAAGAACCAGACTAAGACTTTCCCAGCCTGCTTGGAATTTCCAGCCTTCCTACATTATGCTTAGCTTTAGATAGAGTACAAAAGGATTTTTAAAAACATGGGCTAGGTAGGAAGTCTTGGATAGCCTATTAGCAGTGTGATGTATTAGTGGGATTCTTTTATAATTCCCTTTTTTAGTCCTCAAAATCCAGGGCTTCATGCCTCATATAATTGAGTTTCACTTGCTTTTGTGTGGCAAGGGAAACTGAAATTGCCTGATAGAAAATGGAGAAAGCCAAGAGGCTTAAGACTTATTTCCTGCTTAAGAGAATCAAACACCCTGTTCTGCAGAATACTTTTACTCCTGACTTCAGGAGGCAGAAGACTTAAGTCAAAGGAGGGACTGAACTTCAGGGGAAAGAGAAGGATTTACTTATTCTGAATAAATAGTTCTACTCCAGCTATTATGTACTGACCATGCCACATGCAAACACTCAAAGTGCCTTTATCAGCACTCTCTCCCACAGCTTTAAGCTTTGAAAAATCAGGAATGGGGCTTCTGAGGGGAAAGGAATATTTATGCAGTTCAGTTTCCAGTGCACCTACAGAAAATGACCAGTTCTAGATCTGGTCCCAAATCCCCCTTGAAACTATGAATTTCCTTTGAAAAATCCTGCTGGGAGCTGACTTTTCCCTTCTCCCATTGCTCTAGATGAGACTATTGTGCCTCCTGATGTGCCAAGCTACTTGTCCTCCCAAGGAACTCTCTCGGAGCGCCAGGAAGTGGCCATTGGAGTGGACACCCAGCAGCCCAATGGGCACATTGACAGCAATGGTGAGCAGTGGTTTCATTATTCTGTAATGCTGGATCTCAACTTCATATGGGAGGTAGAAATCTCAGCCCAGAGTACTTCTGTGTTTGTGTTTGTTCTGAGTTATCTGGGAGATCTTTATAATGTAACTCCTGCATTTATACAGAGCAGGGATCTGTGTTTGACTTCACAGAGCTCTCCTCTCCCAGGAGTAAGTGTTCCTACAAGCTGACTGCCTCAGAAACTGCTCAGTCAGGCCCTAAGGACTGGTTTTTTGCTAATTTTGGATTCTTTTTTTGGCAGCAGAGTTACCCACAGTCATACTAGAAAATGCATTAACATCGCCTGTCCCTGCCTTCGGGCTTTGAAATTAAATGTTGGGGTTTTACACTATTTAAACACAGCACATTAGGAAGGAGTTCTGAACTAAGATCCTTCTGAGATTGTGCAGCACTTATTCTGTTAAACGTTTGCTGAAAATTATCTTTTATCTCCATTGCTATTTTTTCTCCCATTTCCAGTGTAAATAAGACCAACTAGTCATTTAAGTGTGAGCAGATGGCTGTGATCTTTACCCAGATGGTTTGTTTGTTACAGGGATGTGTCAGGCTGATGCTGGAAGGTGTCCAGATGTTGAAGCTCCTGCTGTAGGTTGTAGACAGCCCAAGCTGTGTATCAGCTATAATAAAGACACTTGGAAAACTGAGGACGTGGCCGATGGAATGCTCGTTCCAGATAAGACAGGTACAAAACCCATTAATCTGAGAAGGCATTTCGTGTTTGTACAGATCACAAAACCCTCCAAGTCAGACAGCATTAACACAAGGAATTGTTACCTTCAGAGGAAAATAAAAGCTCAGAATGATTCTCAGGTGCAAGCACAGAAAATTTACTTTCTCCTGCTTGCTTTGATCCTCTCTCAAGCTTGGATAATTGGAATTTGAGGAACTGTCAGAAAGAGGCAGAGTAAAGCTCCCAGTTGCCATTCTGTGCAGCTGGCTGATGGGAATTTTGATTCTAAGTATTCTTAAATTATGAGAGCACTTTCAAAACTGAAAGTGTTAAATTTTTTCATGCTCTTTTAAAAGGGCTGTTGACTTCAAAGCTCAGCTTTTTCATTTATTTTCAAAATTTAAAGGTTGTTTTGGGCACTACACCTGCCTCTGCTCTTTGCCAATTTCTGTGGTGTTCCACTCATGCTTTTCTATTTTTAGGATGTGCTTTCTGTTCTCCCACTGCATTGTAAAAGCCACTGAAAATCAGCCAATGAAACAAATTTTCTCTCTAGGAGAAACTAATGTAAAGTTTAATAATGCAAAGTTGTTGAGTGCACTAAGGAAATTCACTTTCAGCATTCAGAAACTCCTTGCTGCTTTGAATTCTGCTTATCTGTTGTTCCCACTACCAGTAATAACATATCTTGAGATAAAAATGCAAGCTGATGCTGCTCCCTGTAAAGCAGCAGCACAACAATAAGAAAGGTAACTTGGTATTTTAAAGTAGCTACAGTAAAGTTCCACTTGGCACTTCTACCCTGATTAGCAAGTCTGAAAAAAGAAATAAATACACAGTTTATTTAAAAAAGAAAAAAGGAAGTTACAAGTACTTTGGAGTGAAAATGAATCCCTAACTAACTACAGCTGTTAGTTGGACCTACCTTGAGCGATGGTGGGTGTGTGATAGCCCTGTGTCCACGTTATTTAGTGAGAGATTCCCCCAGTGAGCTGCACAGAGCTGCCCTTCCCTCCCATGATTTGTGTGCTCCAGTGCTGACCACTTCCATCTGCTCCTGTTACCTTGTTGATTTTCCCTTCCTGCCCCACAGGCTACGGGCTGCCCGTGGTGTGCACGGAGTGCAGCGGCAGCACGGACAGCGGCACCGTCCGCTCCTACCCCAAGGACTGCCCGAGCCTAAAGACTGTGGAGAGCACCCACCCCAATGCACTGAGCAGCAGGGAGCACCAGAGGAAGAGGAGTGCGGGCACCGGCCTTCTTCATGCTCAGCCCTGCAACGGGATTGCCAGTGGCAAGAGGATGGAAACAGACGGGACCCTGTACCCCAGCAACCACGACAGGATAAGGCCGGAGGGCACGGCCGGCGCGCTGCTCGCCGACGCGCACGGTGCGTACTTCCTCGGGGTCACCTCTGATCCCCAGGGCCACCAGCAGGGTTGTAGCACCACCCCATGTGCTCCCCTCAGCCTTTTCAGCCAGCTCACAGGCGTGGATGGCAGCGGTGGGGTTGGTTTGGGCATAGAATAGAATTATTGAGGTTGGGCAAGACGTCCAGGGCCGTGGAGGATGGGAGTGCTTGGCAGGCTGGGCATCACCTAACCGTGCTGCTCCTTTGGGCTTTTGCAGGCTCTTCACAAGCAGCAGCAAAGCCTTCAGAGCTTAACAACCTTAATTTGGTGAGAGCTTCTCCCGCAGGAGGGTCATTAAAGCAACTGAACGTGCTTCCTGAAATATCCCCAGCACTACTGGATCTGCAGAGGGAAGCAGATGTGGAGCAGGCTCTCCTGGCCAGCAGCACCACAGCCCAGCCCCACGACTCCACTCACGAGCCCAAGCTGCCCAACAGGTCTCTGGACTGAGAGCACAGACTGACTGCCATGTGCAAATTAACAAACACACTATTACTTTTTTTAAAGTTTTTTTGTTTTTTTTTTTTTTTTTTTTTTTTTTTTTTTTTGGTTTTTTTTTTTTTTGCACAGAGTATATAGGCTACTTACTTCTACCTCGAATCTTGAACTGATGGCCTGACAAAGGCAACCAACTGAGGTATGAGAAACAAGCTTGTATGGGGAACAAACTCCTGTTCGAGCGTCACCTGATTGTACATAATTTAAAACTTCCCTGAGAAGTATGAAGTGTTCAAAAGTCAACTTGCATATGAAGCACATAAATGCAAGGGATTATTGTGTAAAGAGAAAAGTATTTGATACAACTGTACATAAGAGTTTTCATATATAAATATATATATAAAAATATATATATATCTTTTACAGAGGCTATTTTAATCTTTAGTGCATGGAAAACTGAGTGAAATTTTACAATTTTGGCAATATTGTTTTCAGTATCAGGTTGCTGTTAAACTTTGTGAGAGAAATAATTCTGGTGCCTTAAATGCATAAACAGAACTTTTAAAAGCCAGACTGTTCCAAAGGGATCGTCCTCTTTTCAGTGGAAGTTCCTTTACACCATGTACTGTGGGGTTGGGGCAATCCCAGGTACTGGTTGAGTGGGAAAGTGACCAGGAACAGCCCTGTGGAGAGGGATTTGGGGGTGTTGGTGGATCAGAGGCTGGACGTGCCCTGGCCATGTGTGCTCACAGCCCAGACATCCAACCATGTCCTGGCCTGCATCTAGAACATTGTGGGCAGCAGATTCTGCTCCTCTGCTCCACTCAGGTGAGGCCCCACCTGGGGTTCTGCACACAGTTCTGGTGCTCTCAATGTAAGGAGTAATGAGTTCAAACTGAAAAAGGGGAAATTTAGGTTAGATGCAGAAGAAATTGAAATTCTTCCCTGTGAGGGTGGTGAGGCACTGGTACAGGTTGCCAGAGAAACTGTGGATGTCCCATCCCTGTAGGTGTTCAGGCTGGATGGACCTCTGAGCAATGTGAACTAATGAAAGCTCTCCCTGCCCATGGCAGGGGGTTGGAACAGGATCATCTTTAAGGTCATTCTTCCCCTGTACTCAGCACTGGTGAGGCCACACCTGGAGAGCTGTGTCGAGTTCTGGCCCCTCAGCTTGGGAAGGATGTTGAGATGCTGGAGCATGTCCAGAGGAGGCAACGGGGCTGGGACACAAACCCTGTGAGGAACGACTGAGGGAGCTGGGGGTGTTCAGCTTGGAGAAAAGGAGGCTCAGAGGTGACCTTATCACTCTGCACAGCTCCCTGAAACGTGAGGGTCAGGCTCTCCTCCCAGGCAACCACTGAGAGAATTAGAGGATACAGCCTTAAGCTGAGCCAGGGGACATTCAGGCTGGACATTAGGAAAAAATTCCTCACAGAAAGTGGCTGGACATTGGAATGGGCTGCCCAGGGAGATGGTGGAGTCACTGTGCCTGGACGTGTTTAATAAAAGACTGGGTCTGGCACTTAGCCATGGTTTAGATGATAAGGGGGTGTTGGATCAAAGGTTGGACTTGATCATCTCAAAGGTCTCTTCCAACCTAGTTAATCCTGTGGTTCTGTCCCTTCCAACCCAAGATTTTCTGTGATTCAATTGGATTACTTAGCACAAATTTCGTTCCCCTTGGAAATTTATTGTACTTAACACATTTAGTAACAGAGATCTTCAACTGTGTCAAATGAAATTTATAAGAAAAAAGCAATGGGCAATTACAGAGCAACCTGATATTTTCCTGTTGGTGGAAGAACTTGAATTCCATTATTTTTCAAAACTTCATAAAAATTAGTATTTAAACTGTGATTGTGTGAGTCTTTAGAGTGGACCACACAGGAGGCACTAAATAACTCTTCAACAGTGCAGAGCCCCAAAACAACCAGAGGAAAAGGCTGTTTTGACTGGGAAGAAGTTGTTACCAAAATAAATAACTTGTGCAGTAAACCAGGGGTGGTCTCATAACAGTGCACCTCTCAAACACGTCATCACAGAGGTTTTACCTGCCATGTGTGCACAGCTCTGAGCACCACAGCCCTCACCACAGGCCCTTCCCCTCCCAAAGGGACCCAGCTCTACCTGTCTGAGGTGTGTGCAGCAATCCAGCCTTGCCCTGCTTAGAAAAAATAACCTGTGCCAGTGTAATGCATTTTCACACCCCAAAACCACATCTGGGTTTTGGGGGTTTGAAACCATAGAGCTGTTTTGACAACAAAACCAAACTGTACTCCTAAGGGGACAGCTGTATCACTAATTCATCCAATACTTTTTTTTTCCCTGCAACACAATATTACACTTTGTAGCTGAACAGCCACACTCTCTATATGAAAACATCACCTTCAAGTGAGTTATGCTGCCTTGTGTAGCAATTCTGGGCTAGTCAGAAATACACTTTTTTTATAAGGAAAACTGTGGATTCATGGTTGAATAGACATTTAAATGGAAATGTCCCAAATGTTTTTATGTGGTCTTTTTAAGTTCATCCATTAATGGAGTGGGGATAAAGAAATGCCCACCTCAGTCAAAGAGATCTTTGTCACTTCTGATTCACAATGATGCTTTTTATTTATAGAAAGGTTGCTTTCTGTTGGTGTTTGTTGGTACCTGTGGACGGAGGACTCCCAGTTCTTTGTGATTTGAGTTCTGCTAACATGAGGTTGCTAACTCTGGTGATGACTACTTTGGGGCAGGTTTATCATGGGTGGCAGGGGGGTGTTGTTACTTTTTTCCTTAGGAGCAACTCAAATACCAGTTCCACTGAGGCCGAGTCTGGGAATCCACCTTTGCCAGGACTGTGGTTCAGAACAAGCAGCAGAGATAAGGGCAGAAACACTTCATGGTCACTTTAGACCCATCCCTGAGGGACCTGCCCCGGTGCTGCTGCACCTGTGGGGTTTCAGGGAGTGGCTGCAGGCTGCCCCTTGGTTTTATCACAAGCTGGTCCTACCCAGCCTTAGCTCCTGTAGGGGAAGGACCTGCTCTGAGGGTCAGGGAGAGAAGCAGCTGCCCCTGGATGAAGCCAGGCATAATTCAGCCAGTACCTGTCTGTCCCAGTCCCTGACTATTGACACGTTTGCACTTTGAGACAGGTGGCGAATTATGTTGAGTGCCAAGTTTATTCAAAGCAGAGGAAATGGATGTTAGAAAATTATAAACCGAGCACAGTTTTTCCCTTTGCTGAAGGGAAAAGTGCTCCAGAACTAACTCATGGAACCAGGGACATGGGGAAGATGGGAATGATTCAATGGGCTCGTTTTGCTGGCAGAAATGTCATCACCAGTGCAGATACAAAAGCATATTTTTCATGTTAACATTGAAAATAATGGTTCTGAATAAAGTTAACTGCCTAACGTTATGACTTCCACTAAATATGTGAATTTGCTGCTTCTAAGAGGCAATGTGAAAGAGGAAGTATTACTTTTGTGTACAAATTTATTTATTTATTAGAGAATTTGGTACAATGTTGTACATTGAAAAACATGTAAGATATTGAAGTGTCTAACAAACGGCATTGAAGTGTCTTTAATAAAGGTTCATTTATAATATTACGGCTGATCTGTTGAGAGTGAGCTTTTGGGAGTTTCAGTTGAAAATTAAATAAAATTCTAATCCATTGCTATATCTCTTTTCTGTCTTTCTGTCATGAAAATGGAGGTTAACTGCCAAAGTACCTGCTCTTGAAATTGGGCCATGAGATCCTGGGGAACAGCGTGAGGCTCTGACAGCCTGGCCTGTGGATGGGGTGGAATTTGGGGCTGGATGGAAAAATACAACACAGGACTTGTAAGAAATACATTTCCAATATATCAGCTTGCCTTAGTGTCTGGCAAGTCCCCCTATCTTGGCAGTGAGAACAGAACAAGATGGGGTGTGTGTGTGTGTGTGTGTGTGTGTGTAAGTAAAAACAGGGCCAGGACAGCACCAGACCCAGCTGCAGTGGTGAAAACCTCTGGTGTTCCCAAACTCCAACCCCACCCTGGGTGGAAATTCCAGAGGTAACTTTGGAGATAAGCCTGAATTCCTGCTTTAACTAAAAATCTCAATTCAGTTTCTGTATTTTTCTAAAAAATTAAAACTAATTCCCCCTTGAAATTATCACTTTGGGTATAAAGCAGTTGTCTGAGAATATTCAAAGTTCCTTAACGCATCTAGGAGTTAAAATTTTTTAAAATTGAGTTTGTAAGAGGCTGGTGCCTGGTGTAAAATTTGTTATCCCACTTTATCCATGCAATGGGCTACATTAAATCTGGTAAACTTGAAATAAAACATTGCTAAAACTTAAGGCAAACAGTCATAGGAGAATCCATGCATTTTTTTGGTCTATTTTTTCTCCCCACAGTCCCAAAACTAAAAATGTCCTTTTCATCCATACTAAGCAAACTGGTGCATGCAGAGCAGCCCTGGAATCCTGCTGGGGCTGTCAGTTGCCTGCTGCCATTCCCAGGTACCTTTGGCCTTTGGTGCAGAGCTGCTCCACTGGCACAGGGGAAAGGGAATCGCTTGAGGTCTGTCCCCTCCCACCATCAGGCTGGCTAAAACAATTTGGCTGCTTGGCTGGGTTTTGTTGGGTTTTAGTTAGGGTTTTTAATTTTAATTAAAAAAAAAAGGTGATGACAAAAACTGATTCTGCAATATTAAATAAAAACAACAAAAAATGCACCATTTGGACCCAGTGATTTAAAGATGATTATTTACAGCTCAAGTAATTAAATGCATCAACTGCAGTGCTAACCCCCTCACCATGTTTAAAGAGCTTCAAGAGAAAATGTGATAGATTTTTGAGACAGAGTAATAAATCTCCCTCCCTTCCCAGCCCCTAAAATTGAATGTGATAAATGTATATATATAGCATGTCATAAAAAGAGACAGCCTCAAAGTGGCAGGAAGCACAGCTACACCAAGCCATGGCAGTGAGTAGTGTTACCAACCAGCCAATGTGGGACTTGGCCGAATTCCCCATTTTAATTGAAGATTATTTTTAAGAATTATGTCCTTTGTTCTGTATGTTTTACTTGTCTGCCAATTATTTTCTAAGTTTTGGCCTCTGAAAAGTCTTACAACTCTGTCATGGATAGCAGTGTAATAAACCATCCAGCCCGTGCTGTAGGCACTCTGGGCAGGGGCTCTGGTGTCACTGGTGTCCCCTGCTCAGGCCACTGCCCTGGCCTGGCATTTGTCCTCCCTCTCCCAGGACTCCACAAACACGTTGTCCTCATGAGGAGAACATCCTCACAGGTAAATTACAGCAGCCAGGGCAGCACAGCCCCCCTGGCACATCCGTGGGATGGTGCCAGCAGGACGAGTGCCCTGGCACGGCCCCAGGGCCCTGTGGCACCCACTCCTGTGCCCCGTGTGAGGAGCTGCCCACGGCCATGCAGGGAACCATCAATCACCCCCGAGCCCCCTGGCTCTGCTGCCCACACAAACCCTCCCCAGCTGAACCTCCCAGCCACCACACGGCCAAGCCGGCGCTGTAAACCCCCAGCACTGACTGGTGATAATTTTGAATAATTCCAATAAGGGCTTTTCATCTCACTCATCCCCACACCGTTTTGGCTGCTGCAGTTTGTTTCCTATATGAGAACAGCAGCAGGATTTTGCCTGCCAGCAGCCCACAAGAGCCCTCAGCCTACATCAGCAGAACTCTGCTGCTCTCCCTGCCTTGCCCTCCCAGCTTCCCTCCCAAGCTTCAGCACTGCCATTCTCCTGCTGCTGAGGGATGAAGACCAAAAGAAGGCAGAGCTCTGTGTCTTTGCACAAGCACAGCTGTAAAATAATACAAGCCTGTGCTTTTACTGGAGAAATATGAGTGTGATTAATAAAGCTGCACTGGCTCCCACACAGGAATGCTTGCTGAGCACCTGTAGGTATAAACAGGAATATAAACTTCCATAAATACAGCTCGAATCAGAAACAAATGGATGATTGTCTTTGACAAAGAGTTCTCCCAAGCCAGGATCTTTTCGGTGCTGTTGGAAGGCAGCAGGCTGTAACTCTATCAGCCCCTTCCCCTCCCCTGTTACGAGGCAGGTGCCACTGAATGATGAAAACTTGCTTTATTTCAGCCTCCCCACTCAGCCCCCAAGCCAGAGCTTTCCAAAACACTTTCCCTGCAGGAGTTCTAATAATGCCTTTTGCAGCCACCGTAATTAGCTGTTTACCCCCCAAACATTACTTTTTTGGCACAACTCTTCAAAATTACCTCACCCACTTTCCATGCAGGAAAATTTCATGTTTGGGAAACCGGATTATTGGAGGATTTACTTTTCTCTAGCAGGGAGAGTGGCTCTCAGCCTGCGGGACAGCTGCTATGAGGGGTGCGGGAGGAAGGCTCTGCTCCCAGCCCGGCTCCTCCTCCGGCTTCTCCCTCTGCAGGACGGGCCGGGCTGCCTCAGAGCAGCAGCTGCCGAGTCTTCTCGTATGTCCCCAGGAAGATGAAGCCTCCCAGGCTGATGGCTGCCATCCGTGGGACAACACCTGCGAACAAGCTGGAGGCAAAGGAAAGGCGCTCTGAGAGGATGAGCGGATGCAGGGGCTTCGGGAAACAAAGCCAAGAAAAACTCTCTCTTGCTGGTTTCTTAAATCCCACCCCACCACTCACTGCAGGAATCTGTCTGGACTTCCCTAACACAGCACTCCCAAGGTTTGTGGTTTTTAACCCCTCTCCACACTGCTCGGGTGCAGAAGGAGAAGGCAGAGGCCATTACGGGCCGCTGGAATGGGGAGCTCAAGCACAAGGCCACACAGAGCTGCAGACATGGGGGGAAATCCTGTCCCCCACAGCCCCTCAGGCCAGGGCTGCCCCTTGCAGAGCCAGCCCTGCTCACTGCAGTGGCTCCTTCCCAGGAACAGCCGTGAGGGAGCAGAAATATTCCATTCCATTCCATTCCATTCCATTCCATTCCATTCCATTCCATTCCATTCCACCTTCAGCTGCCACCCTTTTTCGGTGCCTGATCTTCATAAAAATTAACAGGAAACTCGTGCAAAGCCAATTGCTTGACACCTCTAAACTCACAGTTGATTTAACAGCTTCAGGACAGGCCAGGGTATCCTCCCAGAGGATTACAGCCTTCCTTTGTGGCAAGCAAGGATTAAACTCAAATCTGTTTGGCATCCCACCCCCCTTCCAGATCCATGGCACTCAGCCTGGCTGGGCTCCACAGGGATCCTGTCCCTGGCTTTGCCAAGCACTGCATGGTCCCTGCTGACAGGGTGTCCACAGTGGGACAGGCTGGAATTCCTGGTGAGACCTGGCTGCTCAGGAGCTCCCTGCTGCACTGGGAAACCTCTGGCAGTAATGAGCTCTGCTAAGGAGCCGGGAGCACACAGGCAGATGGAAACATTTTATGGCTTTACTAGACAGCAATTGGGCCTATTACCATAATGACAGCTTTAAAACAGAGTAATTTGTACAAGGCATGTATGGACAGAGCACTGATAGGGCAAATCCTAGGGAGCAGCACACAGCATCCCTCTCCTGCTGCATTAGGGAGCCTCATTACGGGAGCAGGGGCAGACATCCATTTCCAGAACAGCCCACTCGAGACACAGCTATTACACAAACAGGGGCCCATAACTGAGTTACCCAGAAGCTGCATCCCTGGCAGCCCCCATTACTAACCACCACTTCCAAGAATCCTGGCCCTGCTTCTCCTAGATTCCTGTTCCCACCTGCCACCCATGGCCTCTCCAATCCACGCTTCCCCCATGGGCTCCCTCTCTGCGTGAGGGCAGAGCTGAACAGCTGCAGGGAGGTCCCAAATCCAAAGAGCAGAGCTCTGTGGCAGGTCTGATCCAAACTGGTCTCTGCTGGACTCTGCCTGCCTCCATCAGCAGATGAGATAAATTGGGTTTATTTCTGCTGGCCCCATCAGAAGCCGCTCTGGTGGGCAGAGGTCTGCTGTCTAGCTGGATTTGGTCTGTGTCTGCAGATTTCACCTGGCACTCTGCCACTCCTCAGTTCCTAACAGGAGACTAACAGGACCCCTGCAGTTACCCTTTGGATCATTGAATCATGTAGGCTGAAAAAGGACAAGCCCAAAATAACCCATCATTACCAAGCACCCCTCTAACCCACGTCCCCAAGCACCACAGTTACACACGTTTTGAACACTTCCAGGGATGCTGATTCTACCACTTCCCTGGGAAACAGGGCAAAGCAATGCAGGGCCTGGACACAGCACAGAGGGGCCAGTGCTGAAAAAAGCACTGTGTGTAACTTGCAGCCCAGTGGTGGAGGCTTTCTCCACCCTGCCTGGCTGCCAGGTAAAATTCTGCCTTCTCTACTCCCCAAAGAGAATTCTCTGCTCTCCTCCCCTCGAGGGGCTGCCCAGCAACAGAGGCTTTCTCTGTGCATGTGCTCTTACTGCTGAGGCATGTGCCCTTCTGGTATTTTTCCACTAAATTGAGATTCATAACCTACACTTCAACAAATAAAACTAAACAATGTCGAGGGATTGCTATTGCAAAATTAAATCAGTACCTCACACGTGCCAATCCCACTCTGACCAGGATGTTCTTGGGAGGAACAGGACACCTGGTGCAACACCACCAGCTCCATCCCCAGCTCTACACAGCCACCTCACCAGCACCACCCCTCCAATAACCCTCGTGTTTCTCACCAATAAGTTCTGAAGCTTCATCCATGGCTTTCAAACACCACTATCTCCTTGTGAAAAGCTGTTAGACAAGATGCAAAGCGCCCCTCTCCTGTGAATGATTCCTCTACTCCCCTGGCAAGAGCAAAGAGGTTCACAGATCCACTGACCCCATCCCTATCCTAACCCCTGCCAGTCCTGGCTCTCCCTTGACAGAAAGGGATGTGGAATTTCTTGGCGTGAAGCAGAGGGATTTACTAGGTGCAGACCAGGAAGCTGAGCCCTGTGCTCTGGTTTTAATAAGGTGGCAATAAGCAATGCGTCTTTCTGCCCTCAGAATTCCTCCTCTTCAAGTACGAGATTTATTAGAGGAGCCATAAATCATGTCATGTTGTAACTGGCCAAAAAAGCCCGACATTTTTATTGGTTTTGATTAATAGATTTATAATTGGCAGCAGGCATGGCAGCCTCTGCGTTTATTTTTCCCAAGACTTTCTTCCTTTTCCTCGCAGCTGACGCAGCTTGGCCTCCTTTACATGTTGCTTTTTCTCCAGATCTCTTATTGTTTTGATTTCAACTGAATTGTGTTCCCTTTGGTCCTGGTCCACTGGTGCTATCTTTGGGCAGAGTTTAATTCTGGGTTGTTTAGAAAAGGGCACTGCTGAAACACCCTGGAAAGAACACAAACATACATTTTTACTTTCTGCTGTTGGCCGGGGGCTGGGGGAGGTTTCCTCAGTCAAATCCATGCTTCTTCACACCCTTCAGAGCTCAACTAGCAGCAGACATGGCCTCACTTCTCCCACTCCCTTTCAAAACCTGCCTTAAGTGTCCACCAAGCCATGCAGGGCCCAAAACTCATCCCCTGCCACATCACCTTGTCCCCTCCGAGAGGCAAACCTGAGACAGCCCATCCCTGAGTGCTGCCGGGGGGCACAGCTGGATGCCTTCCTGGAATCAGTGTTCAGGAACTTCCTGCAATTTGTTTTGAATTATTTCCCACATGTGTAGAAGAGGGTTGAACTTTCATTAGCTGGGCAAGCAGAGATCAGATGTTCAGAGAAAGCTGTCCCCTGCAAAGCTGCGTTGTGCAACAAAGGTCAGGACAGTGCTCTGAAAGAGTGAGAGGACTAAAAATCTAGGGAAAACTACCGGGAAAAGCCCAAACCTTCCAAAAATCCCTAATTTTCTCTTCCAGGCCAAAGACAGGTGAGACACAAGCCCTACTGAAGGCAGCACAGGCTCAGCTTCATGGACTGGAGAAGTTAAGACATACATTGACTTTCAGAGGCCAGCTACTGGTATAAGACACGCACTCAAAGAGGACAAGGTGGTGTAAGTGAAGCAGTGTCAGTAAAAGTCAATAATTTTGACACCTCCAAATGTTCTAGAAACACCAGCAGAAGGCTCTGTGTTCCCACACTGCTCCAAGGTCAGGGGAGCAATTCTCTGTCTCAGGACTGGACAAAGTGAGGCACTTAAGAGACTGGATGGACATCACCTCAGCCTTCCACAGCTGGTCAGAGGAAAGCCCAGAACATTTCTACACTCTGGCTAGAGCAGGAAAGCCCTGCAGAGCTGCTCTGGCTCAGGAAATTTGTACTTTTGCAATGGGTTCCACACTGCAAAAATCTGGGGCACGTGCTCAAGGTCTCCAGGAGGAGATTCAAAGCTCACAGCTCCTCTCTGTGCTTCAGTTTGTCCCACTGCTGGCACCACGCTGGCACTGCCTGCTCACATGGTGCTCCACAACAAGAATGGGGATTTGAACAGAGGAGACCTTGCTGGTGCTTTCAAATCTGCAAGAAATTGCCAGGAGGAGGAAAAACTGTCCATAAGGGGCTTGTGGGTCCTATGCTGACCTTCCCTGGCACCTCAGGAGAGGGGATTCACGTCCCTCAACTGAAACTGCTGAAACTGCCATGAGATGTGCCTGGATTTAAATATATATAAATCACAAATGCTCACAGGGAAGAGTCCATCATGGGTTATTAACACAAAGCCAGCCTTGCCTCTGACACCTGCAGCTGGGCTCAGAGGTTGGATATACTCCCAACAATGCCTCTTTTCTGTACTCTTCCCTGGACACTGCCCCCAGCCAGGGCTAAGGTGAGGACACTCAACCTCCCTGAGGGATTTGTTCTTGGCTCCCTGACTGTTGCTCCCTGCCCAGGTGTGCAGCAATCAAAAGGCTTTTCTGTATGCCAGTATTTAAACAGAAACAGATCCCATCCCATCCTCTCACAGCCCCTAAACCACACAGACAACACAACCCCTGAGGTGCAGCACGTCCTTACCCTGACAGGCCTTGTGTCCTCCAGATGCCACCAAGGGCAGCCAGAACATTCCCACTGGCATTGCTGGAACCAGCCTGCACCACAGAGAGAGAGAGAGATTGGAAATGCTGGCAGAGGTTTAGTTCTTTACTGAGCTCCTGTGCCTGGTTAGTGCTACATGACAGGAATTACAGACATCCTCATAACCTCCTTACCCCAGGCACAGGCAAAAGCTCCTCATCTCCAGGAATGGAAAAAAGGGTGGAAAGTGAACCAAAATCAAGGTCCCAGAGCTGGTCAGTTCAGAACTGGGCAGCCAGTCCCTTCTGCACTACACTCAGCTCTACATCCAGCAGCTGCCACTGCGTTAGACCTTAATAAAAACACTCTCAAAGCACCAAGTGACTTTGCTGCTCCTTCAGATTTAAAAGAACAAAAAAAAAAAACCCTGAGTAGCGTATTGCATGTGAAAATTGTCTTGAGTGCAAAACAGAGGACAAACAGCAGGACTAGAGACACTTAAATTCCATGTGTGAATTCTTAATGTGAAATGACTAATAGAAACAGAATGGTCTCAAAGCACCCTCATTTCTTTACCTGGTCGCTCAGGAGAGAGGCAGAGATGAAACCCAGTTTTTACAGGTTTATCACCAACACTATCCAAAGACAAAGAAGCTGCAGCAGACACAGCCCAGCAATGTCAGATAACACAGCAGATGAGACTCAGCTGGGGAGGTGCATGTTAGCAACAAGAAACACTCCAAATTGAGAGATGTGAGCAACAGGATAAAAAACACCCACAGAAAGTCCAGAATGCCCATCCTTCACCAACACAACAGCTCTTTTCAGGGCTGGGAAAGGCTTTATCCACCTGCTGAGGGCTCAGCTCCGTGGCCGTCAGCTCTGCCCTGGGTCAGTGAGATAATGATGGGAACACCAGACTCACTAGCAATTTCTAAACCTATTAAACTTACTGATCTTATAAGCAATCTCCCTTTTGCCCTGGTTGGCTGAAGTTGGCCATCACAATCTCTATAGTTTAACATTTTACAGCAGAAAATCCAGTACCAAGCCCTCCTCAGAAAAGACATACACACGCTCTGAATTATCAAAACAGCAGAATAAATCCCTGATGGGCAGTTTAACATTGAATTAACTCTGACTCTGCAAGGCTTTTCTTCTAAAGACACTGCATGAGAGTCTAGAAGCTGAGCACAGGCCCAAGTCTGTTTCAACCAGCTCCCTTGGGAAGGGGCCAGAGAAGAATTCACAGGAAAGGAACACAACAATTTCATTAGTTCTGCATGCAGCGCCTGTTCACATCTACTCCTGCCTTCTAGGACAAAAGCAGAAATGATTATTAATAGGTGCTGGATTTCATTCTGTAAGGACCCTACAGAAACCCTGGAATGCCCAGACCATTGCCTGGCCTGTCTGGTGGCCCCCTTCCCTCTTACCTTTGCCAACATAATTCTTGTCTTTGCTACGTCGAGCGGTGTGGTGACTGCAGCTGCAAATCCACCTGAGAAAATTAAAACACCAAGCACAAGTGAGACATTGTTGTGTGAATATGAATGCCACACTGCCTATAATTCCCAGGGCTGTGGTCAACACTGCTCAGTTATTAATGCCTACAGCAGGTTCCCTCACGTCAGAGCCCAGGTACGCCTGTCCAAGGTCTGTACACACACCTTTTGTTACTGTGTATTGACTTTAGAAAACAGCTCTCTGCTGCTAAACTGTAAATCCAAACATCCCCAGGGACATTACTGTCATTTTGTTCTCTACTCTGTACATATATGAACATAGGAAGGTTGTAAGGATAGCAGATTCCACTTCCAACATCCACAGCAAGTTTGGAAGGAAAAAACTGCTTACTCATTTGCAGAGATGGGAAAATAAACCAGTCACACTGTGTTCTGCCTAGAGAATTAAAGTCTGACCATTTAAATGCTGGAAAGACAGAACCACGCTCTGTATCTGAAACACATATGCTTGGGCTCCTCACTAGATACACACAGACTGGATCTGGGACTGTTCCAAGGAAAAAAGACAAGTCATTGTTTGGGATGGAGCTCATCTCCGACAGATTAAATCAGCTCCACTTTGGATAACAACAATGTGAAGCTGCCCAAGGGTCTTAGGAAATTGTCTGAAGTCTGCTGTCAGAAGTGCCATCCTACCCTCAGGGGCATTTTTATTCTCTACTCTCTCCCAAACTTCACCCTTGGAGCTCATTACTGCCACTTGCCACAGCCAGCTCAGCTGTGGCTTTCCTCCTGAAAGCCAGAAATCTTCAGCTTATCCATCTGCATGTCTCGCCCCCAAACCTGTGTGTCTGGCTCTGTATTTTAACCCTGTGACTACAGCCTGGCCTCTTGTGCAATCCAGGGACCAGCTCTGCTGCTTTTCCTCCCAGGATTTTATTCCTTTCCCTTATTTCCCCATCCTAAAATCAATTCTAATCTTTCCCTCATCTGTTCAAAATATTTCAAGAGAGTAATTCATGCTGAGGAAGAGCCAAGTGAAGGAAACTTCTAAAATGCAAGAATGAAAGGGGAAGAAAGGGGGGGGAGAAAAGAGAGCAAGAGACTTCTTCTGAAGTCTTTCTTCTTCTCCCTAATTTTTTATTTCTCTGGAGTTTGTATAAATCCTGTATCTGCTACAGCCAGGAACAAAGTGACTCCAAAGACTGAAGCCTACACAGTGCCCAGGGAATAAGCTAAAAATAATCTATTTTCTGTTCCAAGTTTTATGGAATGTAGAAAAATTGATCTCTCTTTTTGTGGGATGGGAGAAGGGAAAAAAGCATTTCTTCTAAAATCTGTAAAGTAATGAAAAAAAAAATAAAAATCCCTGCTGGCTTGTGTTTTTACCTGCATCTCTCTTTCTCAAGCACCTTAAGTTGAACATATTAAACCTCTGTTTTACGACAGAGGAGGCTGGGCCAGCTGGCACCCTACTTGACTTCTTACAGTTAATTAAGGAACGTCCCATGACAGTTCAGGAGATGCAGTAAGGCACATGTGCAGTCCCCTGGATCTCAAACAAGAATAGCAGGGAAGTTGAGTTAGTGAGCAGCCCAAAATGCCTGGTTTTAGGAGCAGCTTCCACTCCCTTAGGGTTGGCCCATGTGGTTCACTCTGCCGGAAGCTTTCTAGCAGTGATACCTCACTAAAGAGCAGAAAAATGGGCTGTATTCAAGAAGTCAAAGCAGAAACTATGAGCAAGTTGAACTAAATTCCAGTCCATTCTTGGACCTTCTTTAAGGTCAGAAAATCTTTTTATTGTGAGCCAGTTTTTGCGTAAGTGACCAAAAGGCTTTGAGAATGGTCCGGATAGAAACTTTGGTACTCATGTCAGCAATGTATTTTTAGAATGGTAAAAATAATCTCCATGGAAAATAGTGGCTTTACAAGTCTGGATGTAGAAGCCCTTCCTTTGCCCACAGACCAAGCTAAAATTAAACAGTGAACCACATGGCTGTCAGGCCTGTATCAAGCAAAAAAATCTCAAAGCATCACCCAGCTCTGATGGCAACACTTTAGTCAGATTAACTTATGTCCCCTTATCAGATCTCTGTACCTTTTTTTATTCATTTATTCCTGAGAGTTTCTTACTGGCAGCAGCTTCAGTCTTGGCTGATAGAGTGGTTAGAACAAACACAATTTATCCTGACATGATGTTCCCAAATTCTTATCTGAAAAGTTTAATCAAGGCTGATTGGTTTTCATTTTTTTCCCAGCTGACATCTGGATCTTCCCTACTCTTTCATTATTAACATTTCAATGTTTCTTTTTCCATCACTGGGAAATATTTGGTACAGATTTACCAATCCGTTCAGAATGGCAACAGCAACAATAAAATGCTTCATAAGCACAACAAGCAGCAGGATAGCGGCTAAATTAAAAGCAAGTTTGTGTATGCTTGACAAAAACATGAGATTAAAGCTAGCATTTGTTGGGGACTGCTTTTTATTGAAGGCAGAGAGTCTGACAAAATGAATGTTCTCCAGCCTTAACTCTAAACGTCCAAGATAATTTTAGAGTGACCTCTTAAACTCAGTACACAGGTATCCCGGAAGAGAATAAAGGAACTTAAAACTTGACTGTTCCAATCACCAGATTGACACAACAGACACAAACTGTTAAAGCCAGTCTATTCATTGAAAATAGGAGGGCTGTGCACTGCACTAATCCACAATAGGGACCAACAGATCTTTAAATGACTTACTTATTTAATAATTATTCAGTTCCTGCTGCCACGGAACTCACCAAGAGCTGCCACACGATGCTGGAGTCTGCTCCACTAATCAGCAACCAGGAAAAGCATCAGAGTACCACATGGACAAGAAAGGCCCAGACACTTGGAGCCTCCCACTCCTAAATCATTCTGGTTTCTCTGCAGAGCTGATGGAGAAAAAGGCACCTCTGCAGTGAGTCCGTGTCCAGGCTTACTCACCAACCCTCTCTTGGAGAAGGCTCCTCTCTCCCTTGCCCTAGACAGAGCTGGGGATGACTTGGGCTCAGCAAGTAGGCTTAAAGATGGATTTTCACATGAGAGAGGGCTCTTGGCTCATTAATACTTCTAGCAGAGTGACAAATTCCTCTACTGGGAAAATAAACCTCCATGCAGCAGTGGAAACTTCATCACCCATCTCCCAAGAAGTTACAATGGTCACTGTATATTCACACTTTACCAAGTCAGGGTGTTAAACAGAAAATCCCCCTGCTACTCACACTTTCCCAGTGACCAGTCCTTGATGGAAGTGCTGGTGACAGACATCTGCAGAGCATGATTTATCTTTCTTTGGCAATAAGAATAAAAAGACTTGAAGACTTAAAATATTCCCCTAGGTTGCTGCTGGCATTTTCTACCATTTTAGCTGTCATACCCAAATAAAAGCATCAGAACTGAGTGAAATACTTCACCTGGGAACAATACATAACCCTAGATTCTCACAGCCTCTAGAATTGGCTGCTACAGGAAAATGTTTCTCAGGTACTTAGACACAATCCTCAAATAAGATCCTGTGAAGGGAGGAAGACAAGTTCTCCTTCAGTTTTGGCATCTTGCTTTTCTGTACCATTTTAACTTCTCCTCACCTTTTCTGCAGGGTTCAGAGAATCCTTCTGGCCATTACAGGAGTTCTCCCTGAGTCTGAGTTCCTGTCATGTGGCCAGACCTCTGCTCTCTCTTCTGCAATACCAGCCCTGTTCTGTAGGTCAAGCTCATTTCAAGAAGCAGGAATTTGTTCCTTGTTGGAATTAGCCCATCTTAGGAAAAGAAAAATTATTCAGGTCAAACTGTACTATTGGCTTTCTTCATTATTATTTTCTATACTGACACCTGGAGGTTACCCAGGACCTTGTTTTTTGTTAATAAACAGGGGTTTTTTTCACTTCCACCCTGGTATTCCTTTCTCTCATTGGCAAAAAGGGATTATTGGAGCCTTTCTCTTTAGAGGAAATATTCATTCCAGGGCGTTTTCTCCTGAAATTTGTCTCAAAACCAAGACATGGGTTGAAAAACTGAGTGGCTCAGGCCCAACACTAAACCTCATAGCATCCTTTTACTCTGACTGATTTCCAAGTTCACAAATGGTCTTTTTCAGAACTCTTCAATCAATAAGTTCTTATCTGAACTTTTATTTTATTGGTATCATGTTGACTTTTTTTAAGAGGAAGTTTATTCTGATCCTTTATCAGTGTGGGAAGGACACCTGCCTATAGCAAAGTGATCCAAGAACCTCTTTGGATTTCAGCAGAAATACCAAGACAAAGCACTGCTCCCTCCAGAGATTTAACCAATTCAGGGCTAGGAGCATGTTCCAGGCAGACTCTGCAGGGAAATCTTGAGAACTACTCAAAAATTTATTCAGAGCTATAGAGTTAAAGAGGCTTTTAGACACAGTGTGTAATCTTGTCAGAGCCGATTAGATCAAAACAAAAGTGATGGGAAATCCTCCCTGTTCATGTGCAAAAAGCTCTCCTTGGTGCATTATGACTCACTGGATTTGCACCTCCATTCTTGGTGACTCTGTCACCACAGAGCATTAATTATTAATGTTAAGCCACACTTTTTCTTATGGCAGTGAGAAAGAAGGCATTTTAACGGGGGCAATTTGCAGTCGCATTAAACGGATATTCAGGTTCTTTGACAAGCTGGGGATCACCTCGCTGCTCCAGGGCAGTGCTTTTCTTTTCCAACAGCTAATACCCAATGGCAGGATTTCCTTGTCACTGTCCCACTTGCATGGAGAACACAGGAAACCCAGAAGCTGTCCTGGGACAGCCTGCCTTGGTACTCTGCAGGCCTGGGGTGGTCCAGCCAGGCAGTCTAAGCCCTGAGGTTTGGTTCAAACACAACCTCAGGCTTAAAGTCTCATTTAGATCTACCCTTGGGTTCTTCCCCACCAGCTGCTCAGGTATCACCTTCTCCCACTCCCCAAATACTCCAAACACCTCTGTTAAAACACCAAAGATGATGATAAAGCTGGACAAGGCCTTGAGGGATTAAATTATTATGAGTCAGAGAGGATTCCAAATCTCTAATATTTATGCATGCCTATTACATTTCCATAAAAAGCCCATGGATCACATACATCCATTTTACACGTGAGGGCTGAAACTGCTGCCATTTCACAGGCACTGGGAATGGAATTCAACAGATTGTTGCTCTTGGTTCTGTCTTCACCAAATAGTTATAACCAACTCATACACACACACATGTGTGTGTGCCATAAAGGGAAGCTAAACAGGACTTTTCTTTCAGTTTCTTTCAGCTTATTACCCTGCCCCTCAGGACCTCTAACATATTTTTAGAAAGTATTGAATTCAAGCAAAGAACACAGGAGAAAAGCCTGTCTGTGTGATTTCACCACCATGGTGGCATTTGAGGGCATATCTGTGTGCAAAGGTTGTTTTTTGGATAACATTCTCCTTTTAAGGATAATAACATAATGATTTAAAATCAATTCTATGCACACATCCATCTCATTTCATTCACAGGGTACTGGTGAGGTTTTAATTTTTTTGTTTTGGGACGGAAAGAAAGGGATAAAGAGTTTGGTTGGCCTTTTCTTCCCTCATCTGAAGCTACATGTAGGTAGTTAATAATTTTTAACTCTGGAATCTATTGTTCAGAATGCAGGAAATTATTTTTCCACTACCTCCCCTCAGCAAGAAGGCTAAATATTTTCAGTGAAACAGAATGGATGCAGTACCAGACAGATCAATATCAGAGGCAGCTTGTTAACATATCTCAGAGGGAGATAATGGAGACAGAGGGGAAGGTTCTGATCCAAAAAGAGCTCAGCCTCCTGAGCTTTGAAGCAGGTCCTCAAAGGACACATGAGAAAGGAAGATTACAATACTGCTGGTGAAAAGGAAATAATAGGGAGACAAAGAACACAGAAGGAAAATTGGGTTGGAGGAAGGGTAACCCAGAGAATACTTATCCTCACCAATTACAAAATGAGCTACAAAATAAGACTCCTGCTCTGCAAAGATTTGTGCTTGGGGAGAATAGAGCCTAGGTGGTCTCATCTACCACCACTTGGATCTGGAAGTCTTTGTTCTGGAGTCTCCAGGACCTGGTGTCTCCTCCAACACGAAGTGTTGGTGTCCCCAGCGCGTGCAAAGGACAGTGAGCACACGTTCATGCACAGCTGGGCCTCTGGAGGCTCCTTCTGCAAGATTTCTGCTAGACAAGGAGCAGACACTGCTGATCATCTATTAAACAGTAGCAAGTCCAAGCACAACTGGTCAGAATCAGCACACAGAGAAGGAATTGGAGGCACTGGGCTAAATTCCCTACTAAATTTGACCTCAGGAAATTACTCTGCAAGGCTTTGGGTAAATCAGATAACCTTTCCAGCTCTCTGAACAAGCCTGAACACAGTTTTTGTATCAATCTAACTGTAAAGAAATCAACAGTGTTAAATTAATGAGCCCCATCACACCTGCAGACATACAGATTGCATTTTAAAGCATTTTAATCTGTTAGTTTGATTTGTTTCAAAAGGAAAATGAACGACCTGCTTCATTCACTCTTACTTTGTTTGCACTGATTGATGAAGTCAGTGTAAAATCCAACAGCAGGATCTTAAGCAGAATAAAACTCCCTTCCCATCAGCATAAACAGAAAAAATACAGCTGGACAAGACTACAAGAGGTCACCTAAAATATTCCCTCGGCCCCAAAATGGAATCAGCTCTACCTCAACCCTTCCCTCATTGCTCACACACCCGATCTGCTTAACTCTGTGGAGCCACAGCCACGCTGCGTCCCCTCAGCTGTGCAGTTTCAGTGCCCTCCAAACGAAGCCTCAGTCTCTGCTGGAATTCTGCTGCTATTAATACTTCATTTCCCCCAACAGAACTTATTTTTAAAAAATACATACAATGTAATGGCTCCGAGTTTGTAAGTTATCAAAGAACAAGCTTTGCTTTTGAAAATCTCTATTTCAAGAAATGCTATAATTTCTCTTTAAACAGGATTTATTTTTTCCACATATTCTGTTACTAGTTTGGAATCTCAAAATGTATTTTAGCTCCTTGGGGAAAAAAACTCTGGCTATCCATTCCTTTACTATTAATCTGTTTTTTCTATTAAGGCAGTTGAATCTCTCCTCCTTCAAACTGTCAGCTATACTGATGAGTCATTAATTGATTTTTTTTCCCCTCTTTTTGTTTTTTTGGAAACAAGTACAGTAGGCTAAAATCAAGCAAGAAGCCTACTGAAGAATTCAATTAACTTCTGGCTTGTTTGGTAATAAATAGTGCAGTATTGTATTCTGCCACCCTTTATTCTTGTTGTAGTGTCTGGAGATTGCCCAGATGTTTCATCCTCTGGGTTTTTTTGCTGCAGAAGGCTTTTGCCTCCAGGCTGAGCAGTGCTGGCCCTCTGCTCTCCTGCCTCCAGTTAATCTAGGTGGCTGTCAGAGCTGTCACAGGAATGGTGAATCACGGCCTCTGCAATCTCTTCAGCCCCTGGGGAAGTGCTCGGAGCGAACAGCTGCACAAACCCCCACCCAAACGAAGTTTCTCCTGGATGAGGATTTTACAAATCAACTTTGAAATAATCACAAAGCCTGACTGACAGGCCCACAGTTTTTAAATAACAGAAATTTGTCAAAAACAAATTGGTTGTCTTTCAAACAGACACCCTGGTTGAGTCTTTTTTTTTTCCCTTCTTCTCTTTCCTTTGCTGACTTTCCCATTTCCAAACAACAACTGGATCCGTTTTCTTCTAAACAAACTTGAATTACAAAGGAATGTTGTTCTGCTATACTTAATAGATTTGCACATTTTTCCCTTTCTTCTTTAGTCTTTCCCAGTATAACATATAATCCTTTGCACCTGCAAAAGCTCCACAGACTGCTGACTGCCAAGAATCCACCACGTGACCCTGCTTCCATGACCAGAGATCCTGTGTTTAAAGAGAAAGGAAAATAAAAAGTTATTAAATGTTTGAATCTATCTGATCCCCATGTGAGTTAACTCTGAGGATGGGAACTTAAGTGAAAAGCTATTTTTGTGGCATTTTTGAGTGATGTAATAAGTGATTTTTCCCAAGGAACTTGTGTACTTGAACAAGCAGATGGAGTGAGAAAGACGTCTGGAACTGAGGAGGACTTGAAGCAAATTGCTTTCAGGGAATTCATATGTATGTATTTAAGCCTGTGGCCATGCAACTTTGCAAATATTTTGTGAATTTATTTTCTTTTTGGCAGATAAAACAGCACAAAGCAAAACACTGAGCGTGAGGGCGGCATGCAAGAACCAATATCAGCTCAGCCCAGATGCACAAAAGGCTCCCATTTAAAATGAACAGCTCCCACTTCCACGAGACACAAATCCTGTTTGCTCCCCTACATTTCTTCAACCAACCCTTCCCCTCACACCAAAAAACCCCATCATTAAGAAATGACTCTTATCACTCCCATTCTATCCCAAAGCAGGTGTGTCTCTGTTTTTCACTTGGCGTTGTTAGGGACCACACACCCTCCTCTCCATGGCTCCCACACACCCTGCTCCCGTCCATTTCCTCACAGCAGCACTTAAACACACACATTTAAAGCCCCAACAAGAACAGTGCCTTCCAAAACCACCTCTCAAGTCACATCACACAACTGGATGAGCCCCACGAGTATCAGCAGCAAAGGCCAGTGTTTGTGGGGAGGGGTTTTCCCTGGAGCTACAGTCACTGTGTTCTTCCCTCCTGCACCCTGCTCCATCACCCCTTTCTCATCTCCTGAGACACTTCCCATTACAAGCTCTGGAGGAGGTTTCTGCTTTATGATGTGAGGATCAGTACTGAGCAAAAAGGGATGGGATCCACGGCCCTTCTGATGCCCACCACCAAGAAATCAGCAATTTTATTTTATAGCTGTGGCATTCTCCTTCTTTTTAAAGTCATATTACTTCTGTACTATAAAATTTTCTTAGAAGCAACTGGATAGCAGTGCTAGGCTGAGATTATTGCTCTTGGGCTCCTGGTCTGCAGTACAGGCACTTTCCACTGGAGCAGGAGAGCTCTGCTCTCGTTTGCTGACTCTTCATTTAACATGCTGTCCTCGTGACTCGCTTCTTCCAACTTGGCTGGCGGTTATATTTCAGTTGAATGTTTTAAAAATCAAACTGTTCAAGCAACAATGGCCAGCCACAATGTTGTTTGGTACCCTGCCACAACTAAATAGCTGCAGCTCTGCTGTACGAGAGCACTAAAGGGGTTCCAGGCTCTCTAATGCTAGCCATTCTTTTCCTGGTGTTTTTGGTATGGGATGCTATTCTGCCATCACCCACAGCAGAAACTGATTTTCATTTCATAAATAAATAAATAGAGAATCATAATTCTTCAAAACCATAATATGCTTTTCTGGAATAACTTGCAGTCTTTGGACATACAGTTCTCATCCTGATGGAAGAAGGACACACTCCCATAGACAAACTACCTTCCAGAGCATCTGGGTACTCTCAAAGCATAAATCCCACCTTCAGTACCCATCTGCAAGACACTTCAGGTGCTTAAGAAACCTTGAATTGAAAGCCAGGGTTTAAAAATTGAGCTTCTAGAGCCACAGCTTTCTTTTGATAAAAACAGAAATATTGTAATTTTTTTTATTACATGTTCTCCAAACATCTGTACATCTACAGCTAAGGCCAAGAACTCAGAACAGTTACTGCTGCCATGTAAAAATGCACTGTGGAAGAGCTGCTGGAGGACTAAGAGGAAAACCAGCCCATTAATACAGACATTCATGGCTTTGCCAGAAGCCCAGCCTATTCTCAGTCATGATGGGGTTTTATGTTAATGTCATTGTCCAAAGAAGGAAAAGGCCATTCTGATTTCTTGGCATGTAGCTCTAAAATCTAGTTTCTGATAAAGCCTGGCTGCCCAGGGCAGCTCTGCACAAAGAGCCTCTGCCAAGCAAGGCAAACGGTGATGAATTCCCATCCATTACGCCTGCAAATTGACAACAGGTATTTGCAACAGTCATGCAATATGGAAAATGCTTTAAAAGGGTGGAGCCAGGAACAGTTCAATTAAATTAGGGAAAAGGAGAATTGAGGCTGGAGAACAGGAAGCAAATTCCCCAACAGTGAGGTCTACTGAACCACAGAGCCAGCCTCCCCAGGGAGGAGAGGAAAGCCCTCTCCTTTGAGTCATTTAAAAATAGATTGGAGAAGGCACTCAAGACTGTGCTGTGGGGAATAATCCTGCACTGGCAAGGGCAGGATGAGATGACTTCATGTGTTTCTTTCCATCTCCAATTTCGGTGATTCACCCAGAGCTCCAAACCTGAACATGCAGAAGAGCAAGAGGGAAGCAGGGCACGAGGACATGATCCTGGAGGAAGCCAAGAGGAACAAGTGTCACAGGGCCAAGAGGACCGGCAGGACTCCTGTCCAAATTCTTTCTAACCACACGATGCTGTGGGCCAGGATGACGTGCTGGAGGTCACACATGTTTTCTCTCATAGCCCATGGACCAACTAATTGGCAGGGCTGGTAAGTCAGGCCTGTAAGTTCTTCAAAAACACTCGCCCTTTGAGCAGGTTTTAATACCATTAAGACAGGGCAAAGCACAGAAGAGGGTTAGATTACTATAAAACCAGGGCCTTGTTCCTGGAAAAAAACCAGAGGATCCATATACATATCTCCCTAAAACACTGACTTTGAACAAAATTGCTGGTTATTGCAGTGGTGCAGTGCTTAGGGCACACTCTGCCATCCTAGATGCTGCACAGAAGCAGAAGAGCCTTCCACTCGGGGGGATACTGGGGAGAGCTCAGAGCCCAAGGGGCACAGCTCAGAAGCTCCAAAACAGGGCAGAATTGCCCATGTAATGCCTGCAGAAATCCCAACACTGCTCTCTCCCCACGTGCTCCTGCAGGATGAAACACAACCCGGGAATTACGAGCGGCACGACTGCAGCAGTTGGCTCAGCCCGGGTCCCCCACTGCCATCACCAAAAAGGCTTCTACCTGCTCACACTGTGCTCCTGCAGCAGAAGGCTGCAGGGAACAACCTGACTTTTCCAGGGCAATACCCATTCCCACTAGCATTCGCAGCCTAGGAAAGCAAAATGACAAGGAGCACATTACATGAAAGCGGCCGCCATGCCAAGCCTGTGTCATGTGTATTCTATTAAGCTGAAGGCTGAATAGAAGACTTTGTTTTCCACTTCAAAGGACCCCATCCCAATCTCTCTCTCTCTTCCCTTATGAATAACAAATTGGAAATAAATCTTCTGGCTGAAGTGCATGGAAACTCATACAGTTGGGGCCCTCTGCAGCTTCCCAGCTCAATCACATGGTAATTTTTTTTGTAAACACTTTTCTGTGATATATATGTAAATCTCGCAGTGCATTGCTGCACCATGTAAAGCAATACAGCGGGTGTGGCCTCAGGGGATGGCACACAGCGGGAAGCCTGGCTGCATATTTCCAATTATTCACAGGGATAATGTTCACAGAGAAGGGTCAAGTTTTATACGTGGGCAGAGCCCTACTTTTCTTCCTAGAGATCCCATTTCATCCTGCTCCATAGGCCAGTGTCCCCAGATTCTCACCACAAATGTTATTTAGTCTTTTGATACTGAGAAAACAAGGACATCCCATTTTTGCTGGGCAGAGTGAGCACTGGAAAAGTTACTCTCAAGATATACCAAAGACCTTTCAATCTAAAAAAAAAAACCCAAAACCACAAAACAAATAAGGAAATATATTAGCTTTGCTTTTAAATACTGGGGGGAAGCATTCGCTGCCCACAAATATGGACTCCTCACTGCTGAGGGCACTTGGCCTCCAGATGGCCAATAACCTTTGACCAGTGCACACAACTCTTACCTGTGCATGCCTGTCACCTTTGCCACACATTTACAGGAAAACTTTGTGGCAAAAATCAACTGTCAGCTTTGTGTTCTCAACACAGCCAGGTCATGGTCTATATTCAGGACATCCAAGCTTTGGTAATCCAGGAAAATGCAATACCCACGCCTCTCAAACCTGATGACCAGCCCAACGCTGCCAATGCTGCAGGAAGCATTGCAGGGAATAAGACATCTCTGCCTTGGCCTTGCTATTCTTCAAGCAGAACTCATGGCATACACTACACTTGAGGCCTGCAGCTGAATAAATATTACAATTCATTCCAGTGATAAGTATCTATAGTATCTCTGTGTACCCCTCTGTTCACAACAGTGTTCAACTTCATGGTAACAGGAGAGAAAAAATCAGTACAAATGAATCACATGGATCTTTGTGCATGTGAGGTCCTGCAGACTGAGGAAAGAAAAGCAATTTTCATGTTTGCCTTTCCTGCTAGGGATTTTACTCACAATATGGCATTCTGCATGGCTGACCCTTACAGATGCATGGCACATTAGCTACAGGAGAAGCAAAAACTTCACAAGTTGATTGCTGTTTCTGTGCATAAAGTCAACATGGAGCAAAGAGCCAAATGTCCTCCTCAGTGGATTTTTATGTGCATATGTGCAGCATATGGGCAAGTACATGTGTATATTATCTTGCAGGAAACATGCAAGCCCAAACATGGGAAAAATTCAATGATCTAAGTTCACTGTTGACATAAATGCTGAGACTCCATTTGCACTAATGGAGTTGTGCTCACTTATGCCAGTACTGAATTCAGTCCTAGAATTAAACCCACCCAAATCCTAGATAAATTGAAAGAGAACAAAAGTTGGCCTATATGCAAGAGCATATTTTTCATGTTAAAAGCATTTCATTCCCCTTTTTCTGCCCATATAATACTGCATTGATGTCTGTGACCCATTTGGATGTAAATCAAAATGGATGTGCTAAAAGCCTGGTTAAAGGAAATATTCTTCGAAGCAGTGTTCCCATGGCAAGGCAGAACAGCTACACTCAGTTTCCATGGCACAAAGGGACACATAGGGAGGGA